CATCTTGCTGGCTGGGGAGGTGCATGGTCCGCTACTGATCTCGAGCACGTCTCAATCTCCATCCTATTCTTTGGAGGCGGATTGTGCGGTATGCTTTTTGAATCTAAGCGCGTGAAAGATCTGCTCAACTGTACCGTCTTGCGACCTGCCTCCCAGGCCAGTACTCGCACCCCTGACGCTGCCTGGAATCTTCCCGACACCCAAACCGTGCCCCTTAACCCGATGCCTGCTCTTGTGATTCTTCTCCTGGGTAGCATGATGGGCTCTCACCATCAAACGAGCATGATTTCGACCATGGTGCACAAGCAATGGGGCAATCTCTTGGTTGGCTTTTCGGTCGCCAGAGCCGTGACTTACTTCTTGTTGTACCTGAAGCCCCCAACCTCGTACTTGCCTGCTCGTCCTCCCACCGAAATCATTGCCGCGTTCTGCTTGATCTCGGGTGGTTTGGTGTTCATGCTTAGCGTAAGTACAGCATTGAACAAAAGAAAATGAGCCAAGCTAATGTCTCTTCTAGACTCGCAACGTGGTTGATTCTATGGAATACTATGAACTCGATGCCATGTTCACCTTTACCGTCAGTATGGGATTGACGGCTTTCATCATGGCGTGCGAGATCTTGGTTATCGCCCTCAAGGCGTGGGCAGTGAAACGGGGGTCTCGTCCCCAGCTCCCTGCCTACCAGTTTCCAGCCTAAACAGTCTCGTCGCCTATCAAGGCGAATCGTTCCGCCGAATTCTCCAAATGAACCATCACGCAAATACCTCCTCCATCGATATAATGATCTCACGGGAACTCCAACGAAAACCGAAAAACCGAAAAAAAAAATTATTGTTCATTACTTCAAGTTTTATACCCCCTAAACCAATTGATTTCTGCGTGGCCTGGTATCATGGAGCCCATGCTGTCCATATTTGGGTAGCAAGCCTAATACCACCTGTATCAGAGCCTTTTCCCCAATGTTCTTGCATCTGACGTGTCCCTGTGTTTATGAATGATATCCCCAAATTACAGCCGGTGTTAATGAGGAGGAATGTGGTGACTCCGTGACTCGCTTGAGAGATATGACGTTATTTTATATAGTTGCTTTGGAACTCTCCTTTCACCAAATATAATCTCATTGATGAGTTGATGAAGTATGGTAACTATTAGCATGAGCTACCGTTTTCAAACTCCCGACCCAGATGATCCTCATATTCCGGCTGTTGTTGGAACTCTGCAGCTGCCGCCGGAGTTAAACGGCTTTAGCGGCGACATCGGCAAGCTGTGCCGGCGAATCGGCACTTGAGGCGATTACATAACCCCCTCATAGCTGCAAGATATCATCATCTACATTCCACCGGTCTACATAGCGAAAGCCATGGCTTCGTACCCAGAGATTCTACTAGACTGTAGCTGCATGTAGGAGAGCACTCTGTAGATTCTATGCCGTCTGTCGGCATTCGCTATGCTTAATGTAGTATAGTCGTTTAATATATGAGCACCTTGAGCGATGTTCGGGTCATATTAATAATTTTGCTGGGAGAGGGGCAAAGTGGGGAGGAGAGGCAGGAGCATAGACGTTCCTTCAACCTTTAAAGAGGGGCGTCTATCCCGCTATAGCCCACCGACTATAACATTTCCTGTTGCAGAAATTCTACGGTTCCTTTGCTTCCCCAGGATCACCCCGTTGATATCACATATCGTCCAAGATGGCCTCTAACCCCCCCGGAGCTTGCTGTGCCTCTGGCTTCAAGCATGAAGGCACTCCCCTCGGCGAGATTAAGAACGTTGGTGGCGGTGAGTTGGGCACATTGTTTTTGGTTCTTGTGTCTCGTTTCTTTGATCTGTTTACTGATGGTTGTGAATATTGCAGTCGACACCTACGTTGTCTACCCCAAGGACAACAAGACCCCCGAGAAGGCCGTCGTCATCCTGAGCGACATCTTCGGTATCTACGTCAATGCTCAGCTCCTCGCCGATGAGTTCGCCGCCAACGGATACCTGACCGTTATCCCTGATCTCTTCCGCGGCGACGCCATCAAGCTCAGCGACATGGAGTCCGGAAAGGCCAACCTCCCCGCTTGGATCCCTAACCACCAGCCCGCCGTTGTCGACCCCATCGTCGAATCCACCCTCAAGTACGTCCGCCAGGACTTGGGCGCCAAGAAGGTCGCATCGGTTGGATACTGCTTTGGTGGCAAGGTGAGTTGATCGAAATGGATTCATAGTCGGGTATACTGTCGTCAGGAGGTCTCGCTAACCAGTGCCCTCTCCGGGTTGTAGTACGTTTGCCGTTTCGCGAAGCCCGGCAAGTTCGACGTCGGTTACACTGCCCATCCCTCTTTCGTCACCGAGGAAGAACTTGGCGGAATCACCACTCCTCTGTCCATTGCTGCTTCTGGTAAGTTTTCGTGTGTTCCTGGGGTAGATGGTTTTGGTGTTCTCGGTTTTCAAAGAGTCCCGACTGACGCATCATTCAATCATAGAAATCGACCAGATCTTCACCACCGAGCTCCGTCACAAGTCCGAGGGCATCCTGATCAAGACTGGCCAGCCCTGGCAGATCAACCTCTTCAGCGGTGTCACCCACGGCTTCGCTGTCCGCGCCGACCTGAGCAACAAGCACTTCAAGTTCGCCAAGGAGCAGGCTTTCTGCCAGGCCGTGACGTGGTTCAACCAGTACCTCTAAATCACTGCAGTATAGATTTTAGTAGTAGTATCATGATGGGTCCATGTAGATCATTCTTTGAATAGTTAATGAACTGAAATTAATTCGAGGAAACCGAATACTTAATAATGAAAGTGAAAAAGCGTAGCGAAAGTGATAAGCCTTATCGATCCACGTGACCGGGGGATCCGCGCAAAGGGCTAAGATCCACCACGAAGAACAGGTAAGCGTCTAGCCTCTCTTTATTCCTGCCGTTGCTGCTTTGCATCAAAGCGTCGAACACCACCGTTCTTGGTTGAGGTGACTGGCTGCGTCTGCCGGTTTCCTCTCCTTCTTGCCATTGCCCACCGACCCGATCGGTCCTTGTTTATACCTGTGTCGTGTGAATTCCAATTTTACGGGTTGTCCGCGGAACTTCATCTCCACGATCTGTCAGCCTGACATAGTGCGACTGAATTCCATTCCCTAATTCTGTTGCTCTTCGGCGATCTCACGAGACGTACATCTTACTTCTTGATCTGTGTTGCATTGCATTACCTCAAGCATTGTTTACTTACAGCCTCATTCATTCCTTTTACTCCCTCGATAGAAGCGCGCCGATCCGACGACCCTAGCAGATTCGATTTTGCCCGACCTCCCCTTGTCTTTGTCTCGATTTCAGTGAATTACCTGCAGCAAGCAACTGTTAAATTTGCTGTACATATTGTACCTTACATCTAAGTACGACATTCGTTACCTTGAACATCGAACGGATTACGAAACAACATGGCCACCCCAGCCGCCTTGCCTCCGCTGCCGTTCAACCCTTCGAGGGTACGATCCTACGTACTCCGCCTACCTCTATTTACGCGACTAGTGCTCCTGGCGGTGCTTGTGTTCTGGCTGCTCGAACTGCAGACCATTTGGAGTGTGGTACAATGGGGCTCTTTGATCCCGGATGAGATTGGGTTTGGCAGCAGTATGTCCCCTGGTCGCTAGGCACACGCTCCCCTAGACTTCATTCATATGGTGAATGTGTATCGTTGTACATGATTCTGACTCGGAGAAATAGTGTATCGGTTGAACACCTATCCGTTCATTCACGTGGGATTCTTCCATGCTTTCCTGAACTTGTTAGCGCTCACGCCATTGCTGGAGCGGTTTGAAGCCGAGCATGGTACACTGACGGCGGTTGCTTTGTTTATTGGACGTAAGGCAGTCCTGTTCTTGTTGGGTCTTTGAGCGAGCATGCTGACGGGTGTTTACGAACAGCTCTTTCCACTTTCCCTGCCGGTCTTTACCTACTGGTTGAGAAAGTCATTTTGCATAGAAACACTGCCGTCGTTGGCGCTAGGTGAGTGTATACTGCCAACTATTACCTCTTAGGTCGTCGCTGACATCTTCTGAAGTGTTTGGGTGTTCCTGTTGCTTGGTTCCGAAGCCATCAGGACTTTCAAGTCCAACCCCTACTTCAGGTACTTTCTTAACTGCTTGTCAATCATGTATCCTTAGTCACTGACAGGTAGTTAGTCTCGGTTCTCAGAGAATCCCGACTTGGACTTCGCCCCTGGTTGCATGTATTGTTGTCGCGATTCTCGTGCCAAACACCAGCTTCCTGGGCCACTTGTGTGCAATTGTTGTCGGGTATCTGCGTAAGTTGATCCGTTTGCATTCTCTATGTATTTTTTGATGCTAATACCAGTTTTCTAGTCGGCCTCGGTTACCTCAAGATCTTTGTTCCGCCAGAGAAAGTTCTGCGATGGATCGAAGGAAAATTGAACCTCCTCGGACGACTGCCGCATTATGTGTCGGTGGACCAGAAGACATATGGTCGCTACGGTGTTCTGCCGATGACAAGCACTGGTGGAGAGCGGCCAACGCCCCTGAGTTATCTGGGATCGAGTCAGCGTCTGGGATCCTCTGAGTAAAAACGAAAAACACGGCCGTAAAGACTACATTTCTTGTGTATATTTGGTACTTCCAAGGCCTTGACTATAATCGCCTGCAAAGAGTTGTGTGAAAAACAGTTGGGCTCATAGATAGTATTAGTATAGTATAGTAATAATTATTCTGGATTATTTAGCATCAGGTTGTGCACTTGGTCTCTCCCGCTCGACGTAAATTTACTTGGGCTGATGCGGAGGCGGAATTGCCTTCTCTCCAGCTTCCATGCACCACGCACGTCGGGGAGACTCTCCCTAATCACCTTGAATTCACCTCATGGCGTTAAAATGTAAGTCGCATGGTCCGCGGCTTTAACCTCGCTCGGTCAAGCAGGGTTCATTTCCCTCCCATTCATTCATCCCGTTTACCCCGGATTCCCGCCGCGAAAGGACAGCTCAGGACCAAACAACCGCTGACGGCATCCCAAATGACAGCTGCAATCCGCAAATTGCGGAATAACCCTCGATTCCTCTTCGTGCGCCTTCCGCATCTTCTCTCCTTTCTCTGCATCGTCGCCGGCGTCGCCTGGCTTCTACTCCTGCCCCTCAATGATTACTCCCGCCGAACCTACATCTCCGAGAACGCGCTTCTCCCCGGTCAAGTCCATGCCTATTTCTCGGGCAGTGAGCAGCACATCTTTCGCGGATACAAGAAGGAACTAGAAGGACTACTTCCGGAGGGCTATCAGGGGGAGGGACAAGACAAGCCGGATGTTGAATTGACACCTGCGTATGTTGAGATGATTGTCTCGTGATTGACCTCCTTGGGGACACGGCGTCACTAACCTGTGCGCGTTCGATTAGGATATCCGATAAGATCCAGTCGATCCTACGAGCTGCTGGACTGAAAGCCGCGACACAGAATTACGAATACACCTCCTCGGGGATTACGCACCAGGGACAGAATGCCTATGCGATCATCCATGCGCCGCGGGGCGATGCGACAGAGGCAATTGTTCTCGTGGCGGCCTGGAAAACTGCCGACGGAGAGTTGAACCTCAACGGTGTGACGTTGGCGCTGACACTGGCACGATACTTTAAACGTGGGTCTGGTCGGTTTTCCTGGAGTGTCGTTTCATAGCTAATTAATCCCCTTTGTTCAGGATGGTCTTTGTGGTCGAAGGATATTATTTTCGTGATCACGCCTGATAGTAAAACGGGGACGCAGGCCTGGATTGACGCCTATCATGATATGCAACCGCCGTCGGTGCAGCCTCTGCCTCTCAAGAGCGGAGCGTTGCAAGGAGGCCTGGTGGTTGAATATCCCTTCGATCACCGCTTCGAGTCGCTGCATATTGTCTACGATGGAGTCAACGGCCAATTGCCCAACTTGGACCTGTTTAATACCGCGGTGTCAATTGCCGGAGGCCAGATGGGAATCGGATCCAGCTTGCAGGAGATGTGGAACCACAATGATAGCTACGAGAAACGTCTCGAGACCATCATGCGAGGCATGGTCAAGCAAGGATTCGGATACGCCACGGGCGCCCATAGCAGCTTTATGCCATACCATATCGATGCGATTACCCTGCAGACTAAAGGTGACGGCTGGCAGGATGAAATGGCGCTAGGTCGAACCGTGGAGAGTCTCTGTCGCAGCTTGAATAATTTGTTGGAGCACTTGCATCAGAGTTTCTTCTTCTACCTGCTGATGCACACCAATAGATTTGTCAGCATTGGTACATATCTCCCCAGTGCGATGCTTGTTGCCGGCAACTTTACCATCATGGCGATCACCTTGTGGCTGCGGACTGGATACTATCGGGATTCTGAGGAGGCATCCTCTAGGACCACCACTTCCCAGGATGAGAAATCTACGATCAAGTCGGCCAAGTCTCACAATGCAGACGGCCCAGCCCCGGAGAAGAAGCCTGGATCCAACGGCACCATCGAGCGCCACCTCGCTCTACCACTGACGTTCGTTGTCAGCCTTCACCTGCTCGGCCTGGCTCCCCTGTACATCTTCAACAACCTCTCCTACAAGGTAAGTCACCTCCCCACTTCTCCCACACTCACAGATAACTCACAATACAACCCCAGTACTTCACCACGGCAACCTACATCTGTATCGCCGCCGACCTCATCCTCCCTCTCCTCCTCGCCACGCTCCTCACGCAAAGCGCCCAATCTTCCACCCCCCAGCAACACCATCTCATCAAATCCTTCTCTCTCCTCCTCCTCGGCCTCTTCCTCTCCACCCTCGCCACCCTCAACTTCTCCCTCTCCTTCATGGTCGGCCTCCTCTGCACCCCGCTCAGCTTCATCACCCGCATCAGTCCCCGCCTCAACGCACCCCTCCGCTACGCCCTCTCCTCATTCGGTCTCCTCGCCCTCAATGCCCTGTCTCCCCCCGTCGTGGTCCTCGCGGCCTGCTGGTACACTGAGGTCTCGGTCGAGACGGTCTTGACGCAGGCGGCTTTCGGATGGGACGTTTGGGGCATGTGGACGCAGGTGGTCGTTTGGTGTGTTTGGTGGCCTGCTTGGGTGATTGGGTGTGCGTTGTTGGGTTCTTCGTTTTTTTCGATTTAAGCTTTCCAACTTTTACGCTTTTTATTTGTTCGTGGTGGTTTAGACCTCTTTTGAGCTAAGGGGTGGATGGATGGTACAGTATATAGAGTTCTTTCTAAAGACGTATGTCTATAAGGAATGCCTATCACATAATACATCTGGCTTGTTGTGCAGGGGTGCTGTCAGTAATAGGACTATTATTTATCCGTGCCTTACTGTTATGCGTGTGAAGCCACTACTGCTTATACTGCCTCCAATGTTCTCCTATAGTATAAAGTTCTAGCTGCTTATAGTAAAGACAAGGTCCTCCTAACATTTCAACAAGTACTGGTTTACTTCATACGTGATTCAATTATAATGAAGAGGAATCTAGTACTTCGTTCGTACATACATGCCATGCCATGGATAGATACCCTTTTTAAAGATCCAAAAACATAAGAAAGAGACCTATAAATCAAGCAGCCCACACATCCTTTCCAACCCCCTCGATCCAGTGACCGAGCTGGTTCACGCCCGCATCCCAGTCCTTGAGTCTGTTCCGCATGCCGTCGATCTGGGTCATATCCAGGACCTTGGGCTGCACCCAGTGGATCTGCGCGACCTGACCGACCTGGTCGATAGCGCCCTTGAGCAAGCCCAGCGAAAGGGCCTTCATGACGAGATGCTCGATCTCCTGGGGCTTGACTTTGGTTTCGGAGGAGATGGACGCGAACGTCAGGTTGCGGTCGTGCGGGGGCCGACGGAAGACCATCTCCGTGAGGGCCGAAAGGGAGATTTTCTGGTACAGGAAGATCCGGTGCTGTTCGAGGAGCTGGTTCTTGGAGATGTTGCCGGCCAGGACGTCGTAGGCTGTCAGGTCGCCGCGGTTGAAGGCAAAGAGGAGATCGCGGAGCCAGTTGTGGGGGGTCTCGGTGAGGGAGTCCAGGATTGGGTGCAGAAGCAGTTCTCCGAAGTTGTAGATTGAGTCGGAGACGAGCGCGGCGACGCTGAGGTTGTAGGCGCGCGAGACACGCTCGGATTCGTCGAGATCCTCGAGAGTGACGCAGGCGAGATACAGCAGGGCGTTCTTGTAGAAGGAGGCGAATTCTTCTTTGGCCTGTTGGGGTGGATGATGGTTAATGGGAGGGGATGGCTCGGAGGCGACTTGTTAAAGGAGTGGGAGGGCAACATACGTGGAAGTAATCCGCGTTGACCTTGTAGAAGGATGCGTGCACAATGGTCTCTACCGAGTCGAAGGAATCCAAGACCTTCTGGCACAGCTCCAGGTCCTTCTGTGCTCCGTCCAGATTCTGCAGTCGTTGCTTGACATTGGCAACGTCCGCAAGGGCGTAGATGTAGGCGTCTTGTGATTCGGGCTTGTTCACTTTGTCCGCAAGTGATGTGAGGAAAGAGAGTCGTTCTTGGTCATCTATGATGGAGGCAGGTATGTCAGCACATGAGACGTCATAATGAGAGATCGCGTTTCTACGCTTCGGCCGCAACATAGCGCCATTAAATCTAGTGCGTAATTCAGGATCTCAAGCACGAAATGCAGATAACACTTACCGGCACACTGCGTCGATGCCATCAACCCGAGCGACACGAACTTGAGCTGGTTGATGCGGTCGGCGAAGCTGAGCACGAACGTCTTGAATATCGGTAGTCGTTGGGGAGCACTCTCTGGTAGGCGGAAGAATTCGATAAGGGCGTCGGTAAGCTGATGCCATAGCTTACGCTCCCAGTAGTCTTCGAAGCTGAGGAAGAAGGGTTGGCATTGTTCGGGAGCTTGCTGCAGCTGGTCGGCAAGAAAGTCGGAGATCTTTTGGTTCTCCATGATGGAGATGCGGGGACAAGAACGGCTGGAGCTATACGATGGAGAGGTCGGATTCAGGCGATGGAGAGCTTGATGAGATAGAATGGGGCGGAGCAAGCGTAGGGAAGAGCTGTTCTGGCGGGGAGGACCAGCAACGGGCGACTCTGGATTGGAGTCGAGAGCTGACCGGAGGCGAAGGCGGTGAGCGGCCACATGACATCGTTCCTCAGCTTGTATACCAGAGCGATCTATACCGTTCTACACTTTTCTCGGAGACATCCTCGGATCCTTTTAATTCTTAGTGGGTCGAGATGATCAAACCCATGACTCTGAACTTTCTTTGCCCCGACCTATCAAACCCCTAGAGCCAGGGAGGCCGAGGTATGACTACCTAAAGAAAGTGTCCGGTATCTCTCCGACAAACGCTGCGTCAGGCTGGTACCATCTGAGGCCAATGAATTCCATAAATATGACCTTTTCTGCTGTTCAATTCCCTCATTTCCTCCTTCTTTCATACTCTTGAGTACTTATCTCGTACGTAATTGCACCTTCATACACATCCTGACCGTACATCTCTGCTCTACACGACCGACACCCAACCCGTCAACCATGGAGGACTTCACTGAGAAGAACAGACAGGTCTTTGAGTAAGTCGTCTGTGCTGCATGCCTAAAGGGACAAAAACTGATTGAGGTGCAAAGAAAACTGTCCAAAACATACAAGACCGACTTTGACGAAGCTCTGGCAACAATGTATCGCACAGTTCAGGCTCGTCGTCTCTGGGTCAGTGACACTTGGACAGATACCGATGCCAGGAAGGGGAAGGATATCAAGGTCCTTGAATACGCATGTGGGCCGGGAACCGTCTCTCTGGTGAGTAGAATACCAGTTGCGTGGTGCAATGACCCAGGAACGCAAGGCTAATAGATGTCCAAGGCGTTGGCACCCTTCGCAACTCGCATTGTTGGGTTAGATATTTCCGATGGAATGGTCAATGAGTATAACACCAATGCCCGTGAGGCTGGATTTGCGGACAAGATGGTCGGGTACAAGGGCGATCTCTTCGCGGAATCCGTGGCAACGGAACTCTCTGGCCCTGAGTTTCATGAGTTTGACATCGTGGTTGTTAGCATGGCCCTTCATCATTTTGAGAAACCGGACCTGGCCGTCAAGCGGTTGGCGGAGCGACTGAAGAAGGGCGGGACTCTCTTGATAATCGACATGATCCCCAGTAAACATCATGGACCTCATTCCCATGGATCAGGTCACCACCCGCATGAGCATGGTCACTCGCATGGACATGATCACTCTCATGAGGAAACTGATGATGAGTTCACAGATGCCAGACATACGATCAAGACCCATGGGTTTACTCAAGCCGATATGCAGAAGCTGTATGATGAAGCTGGAGTCGGGATGAACTTTGACTACCAGATCGTGGAGGAGCCATTTACATTCAAGAAGAACGGGGAGGAATTCTCCATGACGGTTTTCACGGCACGAGCTCAGCGTGCGTAGGGGAGAGTAGTTAGTTCATGAATTTCAAGATTATTATGCTGCCCAACATGGATGAACGAGTAGGTAGAAGAGTAGAAATACTCCGTGAGATCAACAAAAGCAGAGTGATGAATCAGCAGGGAGATCTCAGCGGATCCGACCAATCAGCGGAGGGCAATAGTCAGGCCAGAGAGTGCTGTCCGAAATGGGACTAGCGCGACAAGTCCCGTGCCCGGGCAGTTTGGTTTGCGTTTCTCCAAGGACGACGACCGCCGTGAAGTTCAGCTTCCAGCACCAAGTCCCGCCTGCTGAGCTTCGCTCTCTCCACTCTCTCGCTCCCTTCTACAGAATCCGCTGGTCTCGTCTGTTTGACCAATTGAACAGAGACCATGCAGAAGTGCCGGGCCGCCAATTCCGTCTTGGGGTCGAGGACAGTCGTCCCCCCCACCCCTCGAGTCCAATTGCAGTCGCAGCGCCGCAATCTGCAGGATGTTGCTATCTCTCGGACCGGAAAGCCGATCCTGAAGGTTCAGGGTGGACGGTAAGGCGCAATTGCATGAACCTGACGTGTATACATGGCTGATTGATTACTCTCACAGGTCGTCTCTGGGAGGTACATAGCCCTTTTGTCCCGACCGGATCGCATCGCTCGCAGAGAATTTAACTTGGAATTGCAATCTAGGTCATACCGCGACTGTCTTTGGTGCTACTGGTTTCCTGGGCCGATACATCGTCAACAGGCTCGGTAGGTCCTCAATGAACCGCGATGGCAACCGACAGCTAGTAATTGACATGGTACAGCTACGCAGGGATGCACGGTCGTTGTTCCCTACCGCGAGGAGATGGCCAAGAGGCACTTGAAGCCCACTGGTGATCTCGGACGAGTCAACTTCATCGTATGTTTTTACCCCCTGCGAGGTTGACGCCGAACGCGAGCAGCTTACACGAACGCCCCTAGGAATACGATCTGCGTAACACCCAGTCGATCGAGGAGAGTGTCCGTCACTCCGACGTTGTCTACAACCTTGTCGGTCGCCAATATCCTACCAAGTTCGTGAAGCAAATAACCCGATGAGTTGAGAGGGCCTACTAATAGGCGTGCAGGAACTTCTCGTACACCGATGTCCACGTTGACGGTGTGGAGCGCATCGTTGAGGCCGCTGCCAAATACGATGTTGACCGTTTCATCCACGTCTCTTCTTACAACGCCAACAAGGATTCTCCCTCCGAGTACTTCGCGACCAAGGTCGGTCCAATTCCCATGTCCAACTTCAGCTCAGGACAGCAAAGAAACTAATGCAGCGTAGGGATGGGGAGAGGAAATTGTTCGCTCCATCTACCCCGAGACCACCATCGTCCGACCTGCCCCGATGTTCGGTTTTGAAGACAACCTCCTCCACAAGCTGGCTGGCGTGACCAACCTTTTCACCGCCAACCACATGCAGGAGCGCTTCTGGCCCGTCCACGTAAGTCCAGCGCCGGCACGGACCGAGTAGAATAGAAACTGACACTGTAACAGGCCATCAACGTCGGTGCTGCTCTTGAGCTTATGCTCCACGACGACTCCACCGCTGGTCAGACCTACGAGCTCTACGGCCCCAAGAACTACTCGCCCGCCGAGATCGCCGAGCTGGTTGACCGTGAAATCATCAAGCACCGCCGCCACATCAACGTGCCCAAGCGCATCTTGAAGCCCCTAGCCTACTACCTGAACAAGTTCATCTGGTGGCCCACCATGTCCGCCGACGAGGTGGAGCGGGAGTTCCACGACCAGGTCATTGACCCGAATGCTAAGACGTTCAAGGACCTGGGCATTGAGCCCGATGACCTGGCCAACCTCACCTTCCACTACCTGGTAAGTGCATCGCGACAAGTTAATTGGGAGATAAGATGCTAACAGTCCTACAGAAAGGATACCGAAGCGCCTCGTACTACGACCTGCCCCCTGCCACGGAGCGGGAGCAACGGGAGGAGAAGAAGTACCTGCACGTTCTGGACAGCCAGTAGTGGATTGTGTTTCTTTAATGTATATAAGTTACTAGACTCGAAGTTTTTCTCTTGTGTGCTGAAGTGGAGTCTGCTATGCTAGATTTGTTTTTTGTAGATGTAATGACGTACTTTAGACCGCCTACGGAATTAACAAACAGCCTCGGGATTGACTTATCATATCAACAGTTCCCCTCCCACTCCCCAATTCCTCATTACACACCCCCTTCTATTCCTTCTCATTCAAAATGACCACCTCTTCTCCCTTCTCTTCCTCCGCCACGCCAATCCTCCTCCTCAAAACCAAATCCACCCCAGCAGACGGCTACGACGAATTCTTCTCCACCCACAGCTACAACCCCGCCTTCATCCCCGTCCTCGAGCACCACTTCCACGAACCCAATCTCCAATCCGTCCGACAGCTCTTCGAATCCGGCGCGCTCAACCCAGGCCCGGAACGGAAATATGGCGGGCTAATATTCACCAGTCAGCGGGCGGTCGAGGGGTTTGCGAATATGTTGAAGTCGCTAGATAGTAGGCCTCCCTCCCCCGCTCCGGTTTCTTTGCCTTGCCCAGTTTGCCTTCGTCTTGATGGAGCTGGCTGGAACTCATTAACTAATTTACTTTGCTCTACAGACTCCATCACCACGCCTGCTTCGCATTCTCTTCCCCTCTACACCGTCGGCCCGGCCACTTCCCGCTCCCTCACCACCCTTCGAGACGTGCACCTCCCGCACGCTACCGTCCTCGGCGCAGACTCAGGCACCGGCGAGGTCCTGGCGCATTTCATCCTCCAGCATTATCCCGCCTTTACCTCCTCCGACCCCTCTTCCTCTAACTCCGACTCCCCCGCTACCGATACTAACTTCCCCGGAAATGGCCTCAAACCCCTCCTCTTCCTAGTCGGCGAACAGCGCCGCGACATCATCCCGAAAACACTCATGAACGCACCCCCAGACCGCCGCATCCACGTCGACGAGCTGATCGTCTACGAAACGGGCGTGATGGCATCGTTTGAACGGGAATTCAGCACTGCGGTCACGGCCGCGAGGGAGTATTTGGCCGCAGAACGGGATGCTGGGGAGCGGGAGCGAGAGCGAGCTGTCTGGGTGGTTGTGTTTTCGCCGACGGGGTGCGATGCCATGGTTAGGGCTTTGGATCTAAAGGGGAATGGGAGCGGGGATGGGGAGAAGACGGACAAGCGAGAGAGGATCTTTGTGGCGACGATTGGGCCGACGACGAGGGATCATTTAAGGGAGAATTTTGGGGCCGAGGCGGATGTTTGTGCAGAGAAGCCGAGTCCGGAGGGTGTGGGGGAGGGGATTCAGAGGTTTATGCAGGAACGGGACTTGTCGTGATTTGTGGGGGTTGGGTGTCTAAGATACATACCTATTGGTAAGGATATGGTGAGATGATGATGTGATGTGTATCTATCCTATGATGGATGGGCTTGACTCCGGTCCTTGTACATATAGTTAACTAGAGGTATAGATAATTTAGCCGGCGTCATGACAGCCAGTAGACTTGCTCTGTATCAGTTATTGGCATCAAGGTCTAGATGGCCGAGAACCGAGAGAAGCCTGAGCAGTGACTTCTATAGTCAGTTCTGGACATAACCTTATGAATAACATTGGCATGGCATCCACTCCGTAACCATGAGCAAAGGGTGATCGCATCTCGGAGCATCTACTCCGTATATCTACGTCTACATCTACATACATCTCCGTATCCCACTCAACCGTCTGCGCAACCAAGTCCCTAGACGATCAAGACATCTCTTCACGACTCCCGCAATCATGACCAACACTCGCAAACCAACAGTCCTGACCGACCTTCCTCTGGAACTGTTACTCATGATATCAGATCACCTATCTGTAGTCGATATTGCATGTCTAGCTTTATGCAATTACCACTTAATGGCTTCCTTCATAGACACAAAATCCGCATTCGACAATTTCTCGAAGCGCCGCATCATTGATCTTAACGATGCCGTCCGAATCGAATTCATGACCCGGCTTGCTCACGACCTGCCGCCATACTATCTCTGTTTTGGTTGTCTCCGGCTTCATCGATGGTGGAACATCGAGCTACCCGGTCCCCATTTCGACTTCCTCAACCTGCCTAAATGCTTCAAACCACTAAGTTACAACGACAGATACGGACACCGAAGACGCGCGCTGGAACTCGAATACTACCCCTCCTACACCAGGTGTCAGCTTCATTTCGTGCACGTGCAGCTTGCGATGCGACGGTTCTACTGCGGTCCGCGGTTTGGCCTCAAAGCCGAGTCTTTCTTCAGTACTGAAGTAGCCATTCATTCTCTTGAAAACGGCACCTTGGGGCCAATCGCCAACGAAAAACCACATGACAATATCATGACAACGCTGACGTCAATTGAAGCCCGGATATGTCCTGCTCCATCGCCAGGTTTGTGCGTAAGAGCGCAAGAGCTGGCCGTGGTGAGACGTCAAAATGTGTCACAGCTTCGGCCAAAGCTTAAGGCAGGGTATATGCGGACCTGCGGGCATATGTCCACCATTTTGCCGGACTTTTGGCAGATTATGGATCCGCTTCTGGATCGGTTCAGCTCCGATTCAGCTCCGACGCACGTGAGTGACCAAGGACGCTGCAGGAAATGCAATACATCATGGAAGCTGGAGCTCCGTGACGTGGGACCAGGAGACGCCTGTCTTGTCCTGACCAAGTGGATGGACCTAGGACCGGGGCTGAGCCCAGAAGACCCTCGATGGCTGTGTCACCTCAGTACTATACCCAGGGTATCTTTGGCAGACGACGAACTAGTATCCGACCCCCAAGCGCGATTCGAAAGGGATTCAATCCAAGCTACCAAGGCAGATGCATTATCTGATGAGGAGATGTTCAATCGAAATATGTCACTCCTTCGGCGGCACGAATACCAAATCAACATGACCAAAGTTGGCCGCTCAAGGTGGTTTCTGAACGCGGAAGAGGCTAAGAAACGGGAGCAAACGAAGAAGCGTGAGATTTCTCGCTGTATCATTCTTTAGGGCACGCAGCATTCGGATGCTCGTCAAGCTGTGTGCATCCTCTTTCGCACATGGGAGATAAAATCGGATTAATTGGCCTGACTCGTTGCATTGAGGTCCGTAGCTCATCGACACGTGCCTGGGTGCTTGACTTCCTCAATGGGAAGGCACTCTCTGAGGAAGGCACGCCCCTCCCCTCAGAGATTAGGGGGTTCCTGATTTAAGGTGGACTGTTAAGAAAGAAAAAGAGAGCGAAAAAGTAGAAAATAACTACTATAAACTATAATAAAAAAGCACCGGACGCCTGAACGATCAATCAATGATTTGTAGTCAAAGTAAAGTCAGAGTCGAGATGACAATCGAGACGAAGTTACCTATTAGTCGAAATGCAGCGAGCATTTGGCGACCCCTACCTAACCCTGGCTTTCTTTCGTCTATGTAACTGAGATCCATCCATTATGGGAGAATTCAAGAGAGAAAAAAAAATAGATAATAGATAATAAAAAAAACAACCAAATGGGCCCTGTTTTCCCCCTATTCAACAGATCGATTCCTTTCATGTTTTATTTTCATATCCCCGGAAATGAAATACATGTAGGGAGTATGGCTTGCTATTGGATTCTGGGGTATGAGTTTACCGCATGATCTCCTCGTAGATCAGGACTGGAGATAAGATACCAACGTTAGTACATAGGAAAAAGACTGAGGTGGAAGATATGGGACGTAAGACGTACTCTTCAACTGCTCCTTGCTGAGCGCATCCTTGTTCTTATCGAAATCAAAGAATCCCTCCGGGATGGGCGGCGCTGTGGGCTCATCCTCCGGGTCATGGTAGGGCTCCAGGTACGGGTGACGCAGGGCATCCTCCACCGAGATACGCTTGGCAGGGTTGAACGCCAGGAGCTTCTCTAGCAGGTCCAGCGCCATGTCGTTGCTCTTGGGGAACAGAGCCCGGAAGGGGATCTTCTTCTTGAAGGGGAGAGAGCGGATGTACTCCCGAGCTCTCCGGGACTTGATGCCGTAGTAATCCTCCATGGTTGGTGTCCCGAGGACATCCAGAATGAGGGTCAATTGGTGGTGATCTGGAGGGATAAGATGTCAGTTCGAAGGGATTCTGTGGTTATAATCTTCCCGCCCAGAAGAACCACGGGAACGTACAGTCTTTGCCGGGGAACAGAGGCTTGCCGCTCAGCATCTCGGCCAGGATGCAGCCAACACTCCACACGTCAATGGCTTTGGTGTATTCTTTGAAGGTTAACATGATTTCCGGCGCACGGTACCATCGAGTCGCCACGTATTCCGTCATGAAACCCGAGTTGTCGTCCGTCGAGGCGGCCGAACGAGCCAGACCGAAGTCGCAGACTTTCAGGTCACAGTTGGCATTGAGGAGAAGATTCGAGGGCTTGAGGTCACGGTGAAGGACATTCGCTGAGTGCATGGCTTTCAGAGCACGCAGGGTCTGGTAGATGAAGTACTGGCAGTGGTCGTCGGAGAGGTCTTGGGTACGGATAACGCGGTGCATATCTGTTTCCATCAATTCCTGTGACATTCGTGAGCATTTGATCGCATTCCCGAACTCCTCCTTGAAAACGTCCTACCTGAATCAGATAGACTTCGTTGAAGCTTTCGTAGTTGCGAGGTCTCTGGATATCCAGAATGGAGATGATGTTCTCGTGATTGAAATATCGCAGCAGCTTCATTTCACGCAGGGTTCGCAGGCAGAACATCGAATGATCGAACGGGGTGATCTTCTTGATGGCGACTTTTTGCCCCGACGGCTTGTGAATAGCGGAGCTAGTAGGGGTCAGTCTCGATTTGAAGCCATCCTCGTCCTGTGCCGGTTCTTACCAGACGACACCGTAGGCACCTTCACCGATAACATCTTGGATCTCATATTGATCGGACACGTTGAAGGAGATCTTGCGCGACCCTCCTTGGGGAGGAAGTTGCTGCACCATTATGGCTGGTTCTGAAGGACTAGACGGCGTTAGTAAATGTTGCGTAAATCGACGCAGGTCGGTTCAGCGGGGTCGTTTCTGGTTCCATCATGTATGATGTATGAGAGCAACCAGCACTTGGGGGGGCTTGCGTGCCCAACGGCTGAACAAGACCACCATCCCAACTAGATGCAAGTATATCACCAGCAAATGACAACGCAGCGATGACCTGACAGGTCCACGTCCCACTCGGGGAGAGAAGTAGGCGCTTACATTCGAGATTTACCGCGAGAGGGTTCTTTAATAGAGGCGAGGGCTTAGTTGCAGCTGACTCGCATGCGCTGACTGTGGGGAAAGAGACGACGACGGTTCGGGACGTGTCGAGAGTCGGATGCGGGGTATGTAGCCCGTGTCTGTGATTGAAACGAGCTGGGATACGTCCGGTCACTCAGAAGTCCTCTGATACTTGGCAGGAGGATACTCGAAGGAAACGCTGGGTTTGCGGCTGCCGAGGTTCCGGAGAGAGCGATAGAAAAGGAGTCTCAATTATGCGAAAGATGAAAGGCGTGTGCAAGCGACACAACGAACGCAGGATGGCTCGGCGGGAGAAAGGATGCTAGGACAGGAGATCCATCAGTTCATGGTTCAGGGACAGTCGACAAAGGATCCATGCAGGGTTTAGCACGGGAAAAAGGAGAGGATGCATACATCAATGAGAAGCCCCGGTCTTGGTCCTGAAATAGATATTTCACGGGCGCGTTCTATTTTTAAACTGCTCAGCAGACGGAATCGCAGCGTCTGTCTTGTCTAGCGGTTTTGAGTCTTTGACAGTTCAACCCGGAAGACTGGAGATGACGAGGGGGAGGGGAGGGGAGGGAAGGGAAGGGAAGATGGTGGTAACAGGTCGACCAGGTGGGTAAAGTGGTCGCAGGAGGTAGCGGCAGAGGAGAGAAAGCCAGGAGAGGAGAGGAGAGGAGAGAGGAGAGAGGAGAGGGGAGGAGAAGAGGAGGAGTTGGTGGAGGGGCTAGATGGAGACGCCCGTAAGAACCGCCGTGGAAGTAAAGCCGATATTAAAGCGTATTATCCTGTGGTGGGGCCGCGGAGGGATGAGGAGAGTCCGTCCTCAGTCTCTCCGTCTGCCGTACGCCGTATGCGACAATGCGTCGAGGAAAGAAGAGAGAAGGTAAACAAGGGGCCTTGATGAGATGAATGCGCGATCGATGGAAAGGACAGATCCAGAACCAAAGATGGCGGTTCCTTGGATCCTCGACTGGTGGATCGACGGATTTCCGTCACTTATCGATAGGCCGTACCGTATTCTATCATCCTGTGAGTATAGGAGTGTCTAGTAGTATATACGAGAGTCTCGACAAATAGATGCAGTAGAGACAGTAAATACTCCCTGAGGCTGGAGAAGACAGTGTCGGCGATGTCTCGGGGTCTATCTACACTTTAATCTCCATGTACATACAGTGACGCCGTATACTTGTCAAAGAAATCCGAATCACCACGGGCACAAAGAGCTATTGCCACCTACTGTATACAATGTACTCCGTAGGGTTGATCAGGCCTCGTGGTCTTGACCTATCCTATGTGTATAGACGCTGAAGGTGTATCCTTACTACTCTACTTTCTACTTAAAGTATACATCTCATACCGAAGAGGTTAAAGGGCGTAACGGCACGGTAAAACGCATGGATGAACAAGACAATACTGAATCCACAATCCCCAATCAATCATTCAACAACAGAAGGTCAGATAACTACAGCCTGTCTACCTACCCAACCGTCTACGGTATATCCGTACACTGTGCTATCTACCACCGTCCTAAACTCATAATCGAGAACCGGCCACAACCGAATTCCCCCCGAGCCATTCCCACGTTCCCAACTCCAAACAACGGGCGGCCGACCAACTGGGGCGACTGTCTCGACCAGTGTTTCATTTTCCTTTTCCTCCCCCCCCTGAGTTGCACTTGCACCAACTGTCCAACTCGTCACGGCGCTAACTACAGTTGTTAACCCGACATCCTCCCTCCAAAGGCGTATCGCCTCACGCTACTGCCCTCCATCACAGCCATCACTACCTGTCACCCATCCCGTCACCTGTCACTCTCATCACGGCGCATCGGTGATTCAGACCTTAGCTTACTTCCGGCGTATGTATGGCTCATGGCTCATGCAGGTCTCATGCTCTGGTCTGCTTTGCTTTGCTCTGGTCTGCTCCGTGCACGGCCTTAGCTTGGCACGACATGCAAGGTCTAGTCGTGCGAGACGCCACGCCCTTCGTCCTTCATGCTGATTTGTCCCGTCTCTGCCCAACTCGCCCAGCCATGCTAAGCTGTGATCTAGAGTCGGCGCTGGTGCATGGATCGGCCGAACTGACCCCCCCCCCCTTCCCTCTTGAGTCCGCTGCAGGTTGGGTCGCATGTCAATCCTGGGCACGGCGGCTGGGGGTTGTGATATGTACTGTGTGGTGTGGTGATGTTGGTAGATCGTAGCTATGCAGTAGTAAGTACGGATTATTCTGTAGGTAGAGGTGTCGTACGTCATACTAAGGCCGAACCATGAATCCTCGACCAACTACCCCTTTGGAAGTCAGGGCTTGGATTTGATAATGAGAAAACTGAAGCAAACAAAGAAACATGCAATAATCATACAGCGTGAAGAAGCAAGAAAGAAAAAGAAAGGAACACCCTGAATTTTTCTTGAGAAAACATATAGGCAAAAAAAGAAGTCATTGGAATTTATTGATATCTTTCGCATAATTTACCCCAAAAAAAAGGTTGGTTTGTAAACACAGAACTATCATCATTACTGAACGACCTGTGGGCGGGTTCATCCTCGTCAGTCGAATGACCTTTGTTTCTCCCTTTCCATGGACCCATGTCGATAACGGGCACAGAAAAAGGACGGGGCGGATCAGACAAAGGAGAGAAAGGGGATCAAACCTTTTCGCGCAATGACCCCATCCACTGCACCAGGCTGACACTCTGGTCGGCCCGGTCCTCCACGAGCATCGTCTGTGCCCACAGGCGGAGACCCGGTTCCCCGTCCTCCTTCACCACGTAGAGGTGCGGCACTACGATGCTGCCCACCCCCTTCGACCGGTGGTCCCGACTCTTCTCGACCACCGCCCGCACTCGTTGATTGAAGTCGTTGTCCAGATCCGGCAGGTTCTGCTTGCCCACCCGGAGCTGCGATTTGTCGGGGAGGCCGAATACGTCGAGGACGAGCTGCGGCACCGCGTCGCGGCCGACCCAGAGGAACTGCGTCTGTCCGTCATCGATGAGGTACAGTCCAAACGGAACAACACGCTCGGAGGACAGGTTCACCGGCGGAGGAAGAACAATCTCTCCCGTCTGCTCATCGGGCAAGCCCGCATCGTCCGGCATGTCGTGAAGGGAGTACATCTTCGGGTAGATGTACTGCATCAGGAGGGGGAGGGGAAGTGTCGAGAGCAGGCAAAGAGCGGCAGACCGCATGTCGGTCGGAATCTGTGCGGATTTTCGGAGACCCAGCTACAACGCGAATGTTAGTCATGTACGGAGAGGAGGGGATTCGAGAGGATCCTACATTTTTAATCATAGCCAGGAAGAGAACGGGCAATCCTCTCAAGTTGGCGGGGAACTGGAGACCGCCGCCGCTGACGCTTCCGCCAGCAAGCTCCTTGCGGTATGTCGACAGGAGCTCAACGAGCTTGGCCTGCAACGCCTCGCGAGCAGGTTCCAGGCCGCTGCCGAGCGTCCGCTCAACTGCCTTGTGGCTGAAGTAGGTGGCAATCGCTTGCTGATCCGCCGACGCATAGATATCGGCCAGGTTCTGGGTTGTCGGCAGGGCCAGGGTCAGCACCCGGATTCTTCTCTCGCCGTTGCATGTGGTGTGGAGAACCGCCGTCTGCATGCACACGACAGGTTTCGTGACGGTCTCGTCGATTGCGACCTCAACAACATAGGCCTGGTCGCGAGGGAAAGCCGGGAAGGCACAGAGATCGGAGCTGCGGTTGAAGAAGTTTCCGTAGAACGTGTTCATGCGCAGGCCGGTCGTCGCGCGAACACGGAGCACGGCCTCCAACCCGATTTCGGAGGATAGATAGTCGGAAAATTCCCGAGCAAACTTGATTGCATCCTCTCCCCGGGCAGCATTCCAGCCGGGGTAGAAGTACGTCTGACCTCCAGTGTACCTCGGCAAGTTGCTGAGAGACGCCACGTCCTGGTACTGAGACGAGAACAGGAACATATCCACCGAAACCTGCGCCTTGGAGCACTCGACAGCGAAGCTCTTGTAGAAACTGTTGGCCGTCTGCAACAAGCTGCTCTCTTTGCTCGTGCCCAAAACCTTCTTGTCTTCTCTCATAGTCAAAGCACCGTGTCCGATATTCGGAAGAGACGAGCTCAGCACGGTCATCTTTCCGCCGACGGGAGAGATGAGCTTGTAACCGGCACGCAGAGCGGATCCCATCGCACAGGCATTGTTCTGGGTGCTCTGGAACATCTCCTGCAGCTTGTCGAGGAAGGTTTCGATGTTTTCGCGGCATTCGCTAAGGGTGACGAGGAGGTCTCCGGGGATGGGAAGGAAGGGCTCGTCGAGATCGCTGACAACGAGCATTCGGGGATCCGAGTTCTCCGATCCGTCACGCGGGATGCTGAAGTAGTGGAGGCTCGAGTCGACCGCGACGAAGCCCAGTCGCGTCCGGCGGTCCGCGTTGGGAATTCGGTCGAGGCTCTCCTTGATACACCGGGCACTTGTGGCCAGGAGACCGTTGGTGACCGAAGCATAGCTGACGTCGATGAGGAAGAGGTAGACGAGCGGTTGCGGAGGTCGGACCATGTATTCCTGAGGAGCAACAAATTCCACCACCGAGTGGTTGAGGTCGGATCTCAGGGCCCGGTCGGCGGGCTTCTGAAGCGTGGTGTCCCAATCAAAGGCCTGGGGTACATCGTTGGTCAGGTTGCACATGTTGCAGCGCCAGCGATGTCCATGATCGAGGAAGGTCACGAAAGGATTGATGTAGGATCGGCAGCGTCGGCAACGCGAGATAACTTGGTCTGGGATGACTGGGATGGGATCTTCGGCATCGTGGAGGGCCCCGTACGGCTGGATGACCAGGGCAAACGGCAGCTTCGACTTCTTCAGGAGGGAGTGGGTGGTCGGGACGGCGTTCAGGGTGGACCGGACATATTTCGAAGGGCAGTTGGCATAGGGGGAGGGATACACGCTCGTCTGGAATACATAGTCAGTAAATACCCTTGCGCACATCGACGAGAGCAATTCGTGCACATACCCCCGGAGGCAAAACAATGGGAGGTGGAGGGTAGTCAAGTTCCGCAACGTTGAACGGTTGTGTGAGGAGATCCGTCGGGTAGAGTTGGTTGAGGGGAACAGCCCGCGGCATCTGAGGCACCGCCTGCTGAGGCTGAGGAGGCAAGAGGTGCGGATCCGTCATCCCCATTGCGCCAAACTGTTGAGTCATCTGTGCGACGGGTGCGCCGCCATATCCTGGCGCAGCAGCAGCAGCAGCTTGCATCTGGGCCGGGTCGGCTCCGTACGCAACGGGCTGCTGGTATCCCGCAGCCTGGGGCTGAGGAGGGTAGGCTCCATAGCTGCCACCGGCGGGCAGTTGACCTCCTAGAGCCGCATTGGCACCAGAACCGAAATCAAAGGCCTCTCCGGCATATGCTCGCTTCTTCTTTCCTCCAGCTTGACCTTGGGCAGGGGCTCCGGGAACCGTCCCCGCGGGCTGTTGAACGGGGGACTCGTAGCCGACCGGTTGAGCGTAGCCTTCCTGGGGAGGATAACCCCCTTGCGGTGCTGCCATGAAGGGTTCTATGTAATTGGTATTCTCGGGGTTCGATGGATGGTGGGGGGGGTTGGTCAAGAGATCGATCGAGGTCTGACTAGGGGATTATGCAGACGTCGCGGGAAGTTCGATTTAAAGGCTCACTATGTTGGCGGTCAGCTTGGGGAGGAGGGACGTGGACAGGAGGGGAACTGGAGCCGGGGACCCTGCATACTAACAACGTAAATTGAACCGAACAAAATCTATGATTTAAAGGATCGAGAGACAAGGCAAAGACACCACACGTAGATGGTACCAAGACCGGGGAGAGGGGGGGGAGAGAGGGAGGGAGGATGGAGAAGATGGAATCTTGGGAATCTTGGGAATCTTTGGATGGTGTACGGTGGCCTTTGCGGCCGGGCTCGGGCCAATCAGAGGGGCCGCCAGCGTAGCCGACTTCGCCAGAGAGAGATTTGGGGGACGGATATAGAGAGAAAGATTCTTGCGATCTTTCAAATAAAGGAGGTAATTTTTATTGAGGACGAATATACGCAGTAAATGGGCAAACATGGTGGTTGTACAATCTGCGCATGATTTACCACCTCGGGGTGATGATCTCATCCGTGCACTTCTATACTTCCACCTTCCAAAGTCTGTATACAAAGAGTTAAGAACTACGTAGTTCAGGCAGGACATGCTTTATATGCGCTGTAGTAATTTACCGGAATAAATCTGGGATCTTTCATCTCTGTACCTATCCTGAAACCATAGTACTAATCAGGAGTGTCTTCGAGACCAGCTGCCCTCGTAGTTAGCAGTGCAATCACTCTGCCTAATGGATTGTGAGTCTACATTAGGGCCTATTTTTATGCAACGAGCCTGATGAACACGGAGCCAGGACTTCAGGAAAAGGAACGATTAAATCCCAAGGAAGTATAAAGTTGGTATCTAGGTAGTAGATATGATTTAGAGTCAACCCGTCCAGGGCATTAGCATGAACCCTGCAGCAACGACACGTGAGGACCCAAGACATTGGTGATATTGCTGGACAGTGAACTCTAGATAAAACCAGTTGCAATCAAATACCAGAAAGCCCATATATACAAGCACCGCGTGCGGGAACTCCCACGGTTGAGAACGTGGAATGCCTGGGGAAAGACCAAACGTTGCCCTGCCAACCGCCTGACCGCTGCCAGTCGCACCAAAACACGCTCCCTATCGCTTTTTCAAGAGCCTCTCTTCGCTCTTGCAGTCCATATCCACACCACTCAACCTCACTTTTCGACCTTCGAGGGTTTCTCGTTTTGCGGTCTTGTCTTTGGATTCGTTCCGTGTGGTTTCTTGTCGTATTCACCTTACCTCAAGAACCCGTGTTATTTTTTTTCGCATGTTGCCAGCAATCGATAGACGCTTTAATTAGTGCATCAAGCTGGAGTCACCGTTGACATCCAACCCTAATCCAGCAAAATAGATAGACACATATGCACCAGGCATAAACCACGATCGGAACAGACCAGACCGGCACGGGGACACGACGAACCCGCGCACCCTCCAATCCCACGGAATCGACCACCGAAGTCGCACGATAGCGGACCCAGACAATCGCTGAGATCGGCAAAATGAGCGTTCGGGTAGTTGCACGTATCCGACCCCTCCTCAAGTCGGAGCGAGAACTGGATGTCATCCTCCGAAGCGGCGCGAGCCAGACCGTCCCCGGCAAGACCGAGAAGAAGAGCTCCTCTGAGAATGCGAAGTTGGCCGCCCTAAGGGATAGGGATACGTTGGTGCGGATCCCGAACCCGAAGAACGAGAACGAGGAATACTCCTTCCAGTTCAACGCCGTGTATGACTCGGACGCCTCGCAGCAGGAGCTCTTCGACGCAGAGGGTGCGTGCCGACCTGCCAGCCTACTGGTTTCTTGGAATTGGTGATGGAATACTGATTTTAAGTTTTCTTGCAGTCGCACCTACGACTAAGCATCTGTTCAATGGCTTTGACGTCACGCTATTTGCCTATGGCGTTACGGGAACGGGCAAAACACATACTATGCGAGGTGGTAAAAGCCTGGCGGACAGAGGCGTGATCCCCCGTTTTCTGAGCAGCATATACCGACGCAGTCGCAAGATTGAAAGGGATAGCGAGGGCGAGTCGACGGCTACGGTTTCTTTAAGCTATTATGAAATCTACAATGACAAGGTCTTCGATCTTCTCGAGCCCCCGGAGAAGAGAACAGCTGCAGGTCTGCCGCTGCGAGACAACGGTGGGAAGACTGTAGTTGTAGGTCTGACGGAGAAGCCATGCTCCAGCCTCAAAGAATTCGAGGTTCTATATGACCATGCAAACACCAACCGATCGACATCGGCAACCAAGGTCGGTAGTTCGCAACACGCGTCTTGCATTCACGCGAAGCAGTTGCTAATCTGAACACTAGCTTAACGCCCACTCGTCACGGTCTCATGCCATTCTTTGCGTCAAGGTCGTCATCAAAACGGGTGACACGACTCGCGTGAGCACCGCCTCGGCCATCGACTTGGCTGGCTCGGAGGACAACCGCCGCACAGACAATGACAAGGAACGCATGGTTGAATCGGCCAGTATCAACAAGAGCCTGTTTGTTCTAGCGCAGTGTGTGGAGGCGATCAGCAAAAAGCATCAGAGAATTCCCTATCGAGAATCGAAGATGACCAGAATCCTGTCGTTGGGCCAGAACAATGGATTGACCGTGATGATCCTCAACCTTGCACCCGTCAAGTCCTACCACTTGGACACGCTCAGCTCGCTCAACTTCGCCAACCGCACGAAAAAGATTGAAGTTCGCGAGGTGGAGAATGAGCCGTTGTTCAAGGGACCCCCGAGACCAGCAATGCGGCCTTCTTTTGCAAGCCAACGACAGCCTCTGCGGCCACTGACGGCCTCAGTGAATGTGAACCTCGCTGCGAACAAGGACAAGGAAAAGGATGCAACCAAACCCGGTGACGGCAAGCCTATTAAGGCGTTCCAGGTTTTCTCTGACGGACCTCGCCCCAGGCTTTCCACGCAGTTCAAGAAACCCGAGATCCCCCAACGGCCTTCTATGTCCTTCGACTCCTCGCATCCGCCTCGGTCTCTAAAACCTAGTCGCATTGCGCAACCACCACCACCACAAAAGCACTACGAGGATATCTCCGCAGCCAAGATCGAAGAGATGGTGGAAAAGAAAGTTGAGGAGATGCTAGCGGTCAGAGCAGTCAGCGAACAGTCCCGACAAACTCAAGTTCGTGAATTAAACGAACAAGTGCAAAAACGCCTGGAACTTCTCGAGCAGCGCATTGAGGGCAGCGAGGATGCAAGGGCCGAGGGGCTGTCCTACCTGCTCATGGGCAAACAACACCAAGGGCGCGGGGAAGACGCTTATGCGCTGAAGATGTATCAGCTCGCACTTCCGTTCTTCCCCAACAACGAGAAGCTTGCGTCCAAGATCACTACTCTGAAGGAGCGCATTATCCAGGGCAAATCTCGACCCGACGCTGACCTCACAAGCGTATCTGCCCCTCCGTCGGCCCAGAGAGGGCTTGGAAGTATGCTATCACTCAAGAAACAGCCTTCTAAGATTGGCTCCAAGCGCCAAGCGCATGACTTGGATGAGGATTATGAATGTCCTGGTGATAGCACGCTGCAGCTGAGCGATGATGATGAAATCCGCGAGGCGTCTCACATTAGACGCAAGAAGCGCACCAGGACCCAGTCCCCCATTGAAGAGGAGCCAGAGGTTGACTGCGACGAATCAACCCTCTCCCCTCGGACCATCCATATTCTATCGATCATCAACACCCGCGACGTCAGCCAAATCAAACTGCTAAAAGGCGTCGGGGCCAAGAAGGCCGAGGCCATCGTCGGCTGCCTGTGTGAAATGGACCAGAACCTGGACTCTCACGCAGAAGAGTCCCGCGTCCAAATCAACAGCCTAACAGAATTGAGCAAGTTGAAGGGCGTTGGAGTGAAGACTGTGGAAAGCATGAGAACCGGGATTTTGATATAGACGGGAAAGGTTTTTGTTTTTTGACATCTGCATTACTGGAGCCGAGTCACAAGCCTAGCATTGTTAGCCTGTGTTTGGTCTAGCATTTTCTTTTTGTTTGGCATTTCCCTCTCCTACGAGTATCGTCGTCTGTCCAGATTTTTTTATTTCTGGTGCATTGTTTGTTTGTTGTGTTGGATTGCATTTCCGTCGTCATTGTCCACCAGCGAAGGTGTTTCTGGAGTTTCTTCTTATTTGGAAATATCGAATGTGTGTCCGTTGATTGTTGTTTCTTTGTATTGATTGTTGGTATATTCCCATTAGCGTCTTAGTTAAACTTCAAGATCGTTTCTCAGTTGCAACTTGGTGGATAGTCAATAGCATGAATGCTTTTAAGGTATTAATAGACAGTAGAACAGAGATGCCTTAATGACGGACGTCGGTTTTCAATACCGCATTTTCTACCAGAAATGACCAAAAGGAAGCTAAAAGGGAAATCCATGTCAAACAAAGTCGGCTGTGCTTAAAACACACAAACTTGTCTATAGTACAGTACATTGGAGCCTGCAAAACAAAAATTTTGAAGAGGGAGCGAGCGAAAACAACGACGGCAAAAACAATCAATCAAAGTTATGGTATTTAGTTCTTCTGCTCTGGCTCGGGCTTAGTGAAAATCACCTGGCCGTCCTTGGTCAGTTGGGCGATTTTCTGACCCGCGCCCTTGATTTCCATTTCCAGTTCTTCTACCGTCCTCGTAGGCGCGTCAGGTGCGGCATTGATGGCCTTTTCGGCCGTCTTGCGGAACTCTACGTCTTCAGATGACGGCGTCTTCTTTTCCTTTTCCGAGGCGGGTTTCGCGGGTCCGAGGGTTAAGCCTCTCGGCGCGTCGGCGATCTCGTTGACTTCTTGGGAACTGAGGATTTCGTTGATACGGGGGCCTCGGGTTTGGAGCAGGATAGTGGTAGGGCCGTCGAATTGGAGGAAGAGCTGCAGGTTGAAGGAATTTAGCATGGGCTCTTAACGAGGTCAATGTTGTATGGCTAGCTCAACGTACTCTATCTCCCCAAATGGTCATTCGCGACCACGTCCGGAGCTTGTGCAGATAGCTCATTGTGGTTTTCCAGGCTTTCGAACCCGACACGTCTCGGACGAATTTGGAATCTTGGATGAGTCTCGGCAGGCTTTTGAGGCCGGGGACTTGGAATTTCAGGGTCGTGGATTTAAAGCGGTACGGACGAGGGGGGTTGGAGGACATGGTGTAGGCCACGACATTGCTGGATTTGTCGTTAGCATTCGTGTTTGTAGTGTATGTCTATTGAGGCCTTTTCAATGGCGCATGAGCGAACATACCTCGGGTGCACAATGTATTGTTCCCCGTCTTTCAGCTCGACCGAATACACTTGACCCGTGCCGACGAGAGCCAGCAGGCCTCTACCGGTGACCTCGGAGCTACCCCAGTGAGCCACGCTCTATGCAAGTTAGTCTGGCTTCTTCATCCGTCTCTGGTAGACGTAACGGAACGGAAAAAATTTACCAGGCTTGTGTTGATAGTCGGCTTGACAGAGAGGGAACGACCCGTCCAAGCAAGCAGGGCCCGTCTCTGAGCCACCATCCAATCCTCCGAGCCGTTGAGGTGGACAACAGCAAAAGAAGTCACCGGAGATCGCACGGAGACCAAGGCCGTCACCGGGCTAGCCGAGGACACCTGCTAGTATGTCAGCATACCCATCCATTTCCAGTCATTGACATTTGCAAAGGTATATAAAAACCGACCTTCTGATACAAGAACGGGATCCCGACAGCCGCTCGTCGGAAGGGTTCCAGTACGCTCAACGTCGAAACTACCTGATTCAAGCCACCCACGAGAGTCAATAGATGTTTCAAGGACCATGACCATGACCATAGCCATAGCCATAGCGTACGGAAGGGTTTGTTGTTCCGCATACATTATCGGCCTTCCCGCTTAATCCAACCAAGGTTCCTCGTCGGGTGTACAGGTTCTGCGAGGCGGATAGCGAGACAGATAGGAGGGAGTGCGGTGCGCCGATGACATCAAACCGAGCATCTAGATTCCGAACGCCGTCCTGTTAGTTAGCCGTTTTGATCTTTTCGACGTCGAAGGAAGAAACGAGAAACGAAACGCCAGCGTCTCAATGGCTACTTCCACGGGATGGAATAGAATCAGAAGGAAAACACACCTCTCGACTCCGCCGAGCTAGGCGGTCCAGCCACGGGCAGATTATCACCATTGCCCGTCGCAGGCTGTTCCGCGGGGGCAGCGCGAATTTGAAGGCCTCTGGTCTGGCATGCGCGGTGCAGCAACGGCGCTCCTTGTCGCGCCCGGAGAGAAAGGGCACGGGCCGAAGGGAGGGCTCCGACGCCTCTCCTCAAGGGTTGACTCATTGTCGTGCCTGAGGATCAAATGCGGAGGGAGAAACAGTGAAGAGGAGGAAGGGCGGATTGAATGCGCCGAACTTGTTCTCCGCGGCGATTCTTCTGCGGCCGGATTCACGCGGCCCGATCGGGAATGGCGTCTTGGCACGGTTTGTATACAAGTCGGTAGGCAGTCACTGGCCTCGCTGGAGGTGACAATGGGGACGGATTTGGGGTATATGCTAGGTAATGAAAAGTATGAAGAGTCACCTATCTACAATCTTGGTCATATCCAACTCTGACCGCGGAGAAGTCGGTTCCTGTCCGGTTCTACGCTGCGTGCACCTCTGATGTCATAGATATCTCACGGTTTGGAGCCTGAAAGCACCTCGTTGGGGATCCAATGGCTTTGGGGGTGTCCTTGTGCTGTGTACTCGATCGGAATTATCTGTTTCCTTCTTGAAGGGTGGCTCTGTGTCCAGGTTTCATGGCGTGCTTCGAACTGCTTGTTCTTGCATACAACGACGACTCGGATTACATAAATATATTGAATAGACAATCAGCCTCGGATTGATTTTTAAATGGAACAAAGAAGAGAGATAAAGTTGGAGAAAATATAGACGAATAAACCCCCGCCAAAGTACATAAGATTAAATGCATCAAATGCCCCAAGGATAGAGGAGAATGAGAAATCGGCGATTGCGACAGAAGCGACGGCGGTCCCCTCATCCTCCACGATCTCCGACCCTTTTTCCTCCGAACCCGGCGGTCCCCAAAACCACGACTTTCCCCAATTCTCACCAACAAGAGACCGCCGCACACCCTCAACGATGCTCCTTTGATCCCCCCGGAGTCTTCCTCCCGTGTACACGATCTGTCCTGTTTCCTCTAGCGTCTTATACCCGGCCATCATGCTGCCCAGGGCAGCTCGATCGCCTTGCGTGCGCATCCCCGCACGCTTCATACGGCGCGGTCCCGTCGCACCGCGCTCTTCGCCATGGCTGCCTGCAGCCTACAGCGCCCAGCTGAGGGCGTTTTCGACCACCCACAAAGGCCCGTTACTGAAGCAGGCCATCGAAGAGCCACCTATCGAACGAAAACCACCGAATCCTGCTGCCACGCCGTCGACACCATCCTCGACGGACGCGGCTGTCGCGCAATCTCCGAAAGATGCCCCGAAGGCCTCCGATTCGGACAAGAAGAAGAAGAAGAAGGATTTGCTCAGTGAGAGCACGGTCGCGACTAGAGAGCAGAGGAAAGCCGATTGGGCAATAATGAAGGAAATGGCGAAGTACCTTTGGCCAAAGGTAGGATTCTTGTTCGTGGGAATTGGCGTGGGTTGGAAAAATGACCGGTGCTAATTGGGAAAACTACACAGGATGACTGGGGTACTAAGCTTCGTGTCGGAAGTGCATTGTCACTATTAGTAGGAGCCAAGGTCAGTATGTATTGAAGGAGTTGGTCGTTGGTGTATTGAGAGGGAAGTGCTGACAGAGGTGACTAGATTCTGAACGTCGAAGTGCCCTTCTATTTCAAGAGTATTGTCGACTCGATGAATGTGGATTTTGCGACTCTAGGGGGAACTGCATACACGGTGGCGGGGTCCATGATCATAGCCTGTAAGCAATGGCTGTGTGGTTGCAAATGGCAGGTGCCATAGTGTCTAACGATAATCGTCCAGACGGAGTAACCAGGATCGGCGCTACCCTATTCCAAGAACTTCGAAATGCCGTCTTTGCAAGCGTTGCCCAAAAAGCGATCCGCCGAGTCGCACGAAATGTTTTCGAGCATCTCCTTCGATTGGACTTGAACTTCCACCTCTCCCGTCAGACCGGTGGACTGACGAGAGCCATTGACCGAGGAACCAAGGGTATTAGCTTCCTTCTGACATCCATGGTATTTCACGTGGTACCAACGGCTCTGGAGATCTCCCTTGTGTGTGGCATATTGGTATGACTAGATGTTGCCCTCTGTCTCTGCCATGGATGTTGCTGACTGAGCTGGATAGACCTACCAATATGGAGTCCAGTTCGCGGCTATTACGACTGCCACTATGGTCGCCTACTCGGCTTTCACGATCACTACGACTGCCTGGAGAACGAAGTTCCGAAAGCAGGCCAACGCGGCAGACAACCGTGGGGCCACGGTGGCCGTGGACTCCCTGATTAATTACGAGGCCGTCAAGTATTTCAACAATGAGAAGTTTGAGGTCGCGCGCTACGACAAGGCGCTCAAGGCCTACGAAGATGCTTCCATCAAGGTGACCACGTCGTTGGCGTTCCTCAACTCTGGCCAGAACATGATCTTCTCCAGCGCCCTCGCAGCGATGATGTACCTTGCGTGCAATGGAGTTGCCAGCGGTGCTCTGACCGTCGGTGACCTGGTCATGGTCAACCAACTCGTCTTCCAACTGTCGGTTCCGTTGAACTTCCTGGGCTCCGTCTACCGCGAATTGCGCCAGTCCTTGCTGGACATGGAGACGCTATTCAACCTACAAAAGGTCAACGTGAACATCATCGAGAAGCCGAATGCGAAGGCGCTCGAGCTCCGGCAAGGTGGCCAAATCACATTCGAAAATGTCACTTTTGGCTACCACCCCGAACGGCCCATTCTGAAGAACGCGAGCTTTACGATCCCTGCTGGCCAGAAGTTTGCCATCGTGGGGCCTAGCGGTTGCGGCAAGTCGACGATCTTGAGACTTTTGTTCCGCTACTACGATGTTCAGCAAGGCCGAATCCTGGTTGATGGACAGGATATTCGCGACGTGACGTTAGACAGTCTCCGAAAGGCAATCGGTATTGTACCCCAAGACACGCCCCTGTTCAACGATACCATCGCGCATAACATCCGCTATGGTAGAATCGACGCGACCGACGAAGAAGTACACAAGGCCGCACAGCGAGCACGGATTCACGAATTGATTGAGCGCCTTCCGGATGGATACAAGACGGCCGTCGGAGAGCGCGGTATGATGATTTCTGGCGGCGAGAAGCAACGGCTGGCCATTTCTCGCCTGATCCTAAAAGACCCCAAGCTCCTCTTCTTTGACGAAGCAGTAAGTTTCCCCTCTTCGCCTAGTGCGGTTGCGAGCCATGAAACTGACGAGCAATGTAGACATCGGCACTGGATACATACACGGAACAGGCGCTCCTGCAGAACATTAACAGCATCCTGAAAGAAAAGGGGCGTACTAGTGTCTTCGTTGCCCATAGACTGCGGACTATCTGTGACTGCGACCAGATCCTGGTTCTGAAGGAGGGTAGCGTGGCGGAGATGGGGTCGCACCGTGAACTTCTCGACCAGAGCGGCATCTACGCGAAGCTATGGAATGGTAAGAGCTCATCATCATAGCCTAATATCTTCCTCTCGAGAAAGAAATGCTAACCATAGGATGATTGTAGCCCAGGAAACGTCCCTGGCAGAAGACCAGGAAAGTGAACGTGACGCCGAGCTTGAAGAAGAGATCTCGGAGGTGCGACAGAAGTAGACTTTGTTTGACTTCAGATCCACACACAGACACGCATTCTTTGGAAAATTTGGATGCAGACTCCCCCTTGACCTTGGAGCCGAAAAGATCTAAGATCAACTTTGGGAGGGGGGCGCCATGCCGGATGGCGCAATAAGTAAATAGAGCTAACGACCTCCTTTTGATGGACGGAGTATGCCTTGATTTCTTTTTTGCAAACGGTTGATATTTGGTAGACGGTCCATAGACTGGTGACTATTGGTTCTGGAGAACTTCGAATGCACTGTTTTGAGCACGAACGCGTTGAAATCCTGCAAGCCCTGAATGGGTTATTATTCGCGATTTGCATCATTGTTGACGCCGGTTCCCAGGTACTCCATAAGGTTGGACCAGACAGGCTAGAGCGGATGATAATGATTAATAGTCCAGAGAGTGGAGGCAGCTATTGATTTAGTGACAATTTATTTCCATTTAGCCCGAACGGCCGGTGAATTCAATCAGCGCGCTAGTTGCCATGTGGTTTGAGTGCGTCAACCAGGCCGTGAGTGGTATTTCGATCAGCAAGTTTGGGAGTTGGGGAGCCATCAAGTCCCGTCATGATGTCCATGCGTCTTCCCAGGATTTAAAATCTCCGAGGGAGTGGAGCCCTTCGAGCGGCCCAGTGGTGACAAATGCCGCCCATGGAGGACGGAGAGGACGGAGTACGGAGGAGACGAGGAGTGTTCATCGAGAGATGGGAAGTTGGAACCGGGAAGACTAAAGAGATGATGGCCTCGGTGCCTGAGGGGTTGACTGTCAAGGAACCCCTGGCTAAACCCCACATGGCCTAGCGTCACCACCCCAGGCATCCCACCGTCGCATCGCTTCCTTCTAGACTCTCGTTTCACTCTCGTCGCTCCTCCGCTCTTGTCTTTCCCACTTCTTCCCTTCCTTTCCCTGTTCTTTTTCGTCGCGTCTGTGTGGGTGTGGGCTTGTTTTGTGTCTCTGGTGTTGTTTACTATTTGATTTCAAAAATAATTAAAACCCCCAAGGTCCGAACCTGACTTATCTCTCCCCTCATACTCCGTCCACCTGCCCAACTGCACGCACGGTGGCTTTCCGGCGATTCGTCATATCGGCACCTACCCACATTCCTTTCTGCTCCCAGCCATTGCAGCGAACGCTCTTTCGATTCATCCATAAGCCAATCATTTCAGCGACGGACTCCGGTTCATTTCTGCCTTTGTCGCTCTTTTCGGCCAACCAGTTCCCGTCTGTTGCTACTAGTCCCCCATACCCTGCGCGCTCGTCCTTCGTTTCCCCAGGTTCAGTCTTGGTGTTCTCCTTTATCTTTCTTTTCTTTTCTTTTCTCCTGTCTTTCAAAATAAAAAAGTTGAACATTACTCTATAAGCGACCATCACGAGTAAATCGGTCTAGATTGTTTGGTTTCACTAGGTAAGTCTAAGTTGCCCTCTCACCACTTCCGGGAGTGAAACCACGAGTGAGACATGGTTTATCACACAAAACCTTCTCGTGCCCCCCAAATGCTAATTCGGTTTGCAGGCATCTTTGATGATCGTGTTTCCAATTATTTCTGTCAATTGCTGCTCGCTTTTCGCATTATCGAACCAACACCTTGGCTGAAACCCGTTACGGTGTACACCCCCTCCACAATCGTAGAACCGACCTCTAGCGTTCGGACCATCAAGAGCGACTCGACTCGACACCCCAAACATCTTCACATTTAGCATACACCATGGGTATCTTCGATAAGTTACAAGCCAGTACGTATCCGACCGTCTTATATGCCTGCTAGTCGTTAGCAGCATCACTCGCGACCCGCCTGCTAACAGTTTCCCTTCACAGAAATCGAGCTCTACCGACTAGAGCAGCGGTATGCTCGTCGTAAGCACCGCAGCACATTCTCGGGGGTCCAATACGTCGACGGTGAATATGTCTATACCAGCGGATCGAACTCCTCCTCGGGAACCGTCTCCAAACACTCGACAGGCAGCTGGAAGAAGCCTCCCACCTGGGGTTCCTCCGGAGAATCACGATGGCGGTAACGAACTCGCCCGACCCCGATATGCTTTCGTTCTTGCATTTGACCATATATCCTCGACGTTATGTCCCACGTCGAGGATGTCACGATACTTTCTGACCATCACATGCTTTTGTTTCCGAATCACGGATCAGTGTTGACTTTCTGAACGGGAAAAGCTCATGATATCGTTTATCATTTTCTTCTGATTTCTTTCTTGGAGAGACAAGACCCGGATGCAATTCGCGATGAGACAGTTTGGAGATGCCCTTGCTTCTTGCAGCGATGTGCTGGACGACCCTTGATAGCCTCGAGCATGTGTCTCGGGTAAGGCGTCCAACTTTACCGGACGCATGACGCACACGGTGCTCCAATTAACCTTTTTGACACCTTGAAATCGACATGCAAGGCCGATGTCTCGGATCGTTCAACTCAGGTGTCTCTCACTGACGCAATCATCCCTTTATACGATCTACGTTCGACTTTCTTGTTTTATCTTCCTGTACTTCAGCCCCAAAGCATTTTCATTCTCGTCTTTGACTTCTGAGCGATAAAAGCTTTGCTGAATCTGGTTGACTTTCTTTTTCTTTGTATACTTGCGGGCATCAGCGAACTGTTTGGCTTCTCTTTTCTCTTCCCACCACATCAATGGCTACTTTTCCTGTACATACATTTGCACTTATATTTCTTAACAATCACAGAGACAGAATACCTAGAACTTTATGTGAAGCAGGATCAAATATCCAGGGTGACCAATTCGCGTAGGTTTTTTAACAATACAACATCTTGACATGTCTAGAGCACAGGTAGTATACTTCTTCGTCAATGGGCAGTCGGTGTACATCGTTTACGTATAATCCTGACCCTAACTCTCCATTTCCCTTCCGTCTTTCTCTTCACCTTGCACTAGATCAAGTCTCTTAAACCCCAAACACCTAATTTCTGTGTCTTTCTCATCACCCACCTCTCTCTTTCTTTTCCCACACCGCCTAACAAACCAAAGAAAGAGAGAGGGAGAGGGAGAGGGAGGGAGGAAGGAAGGAACATGCAATGCAATGCAAATAAAAAAATCACCTCTTAAACTTCTTCCCCCCAATCCCCAATCTCCCCAAATTCGGCAAACTAGATTTATGCCGATGCGAACCCCCCAAAAGCGATCCTCTCTGCGCAGTTTCTGTTCCTCCTCCACCAGCACCACCAGCGCCGCTCATGTTCGAATTCCCACGGCCCTCGGCGGGTCCTCCACGGGGCGTATCAGGGAGTGACCTGTCCCTGGTATGGCGCTGGGCGGGATCATTCGAGAGGGACGGGTTCTGGAAGCCGGAGGGACCGTCTAGGTCGTAGGGACGTTGGGATGAGGCGCGTTGTTGCGAGCGGCGGGCTTTTTCTTGCACGGATTTGAACTTGTCGAGAAGTTCGACCCAGCGGATGGAGGAGTCTTCGCGCTTGAGGCGCCCTGTGGGGCGTTCGTAGGAGGGGGTGTTGGAGGATGAGGTGGTGGATGAGGAGGACATGCTTGTTCTGTTTAGTGGGGGTGGGTGGTTAGTGGTTTGTTGGTTTGGGGATGAGGATTGTTGATTGTTATGGGGGCAGGGTGGTGACTGACAGTCGAGGACCGGTGTGAAGAAGACCGATGTTGCTGACGCTGTTGAGGCGGTTTTTTAACGCTGCAAAGGCGGAGCTTTGGGGGAGGAGCATGAGGACTCCGTAGAGACATTTGTATAGGTGGGGGTATTTCTCTGGCTCGAGGAGTTGGAGCCGAAGGTCTAGGAATGAAGAGGTTAGTAGGTATTGGATTGAAGGAATTCGGGGGAGGCAAACTCACAGGTAAAAACGGGGGATTCGAGTAGTTGCACTAGCTTGTCGATTTGAATTAACATGTTGACGGTCATTTCGAGTTCAGCGCTGAATGATTGTTAGCTAGAGGCCATTCTGATTTCGAAATCACATTCACGTACAAAACTTGAAGAAGATTGTAGGCCTGTTCATATGCTTGAGCTAGAAGGCACAGAGAAAAGGTGGAAACGGCATTGTGACACCAAGACCTGAACAGAGCCACAAAGAACATTTGACCCTCCTATTCTTATATTAGCTTGAGGAGAAAAAATTGACCGATATGGAGAAAATACTACTCTTGAATCCAAATTCCTCAGCCGTTTGCGAAGATCTGAAAGCTCGGGTGCAGTAATCAGGTTGTTGTTCAGATTTTGAACCATGATACTAGCAAACTCAATGTCCTATGAGCAGAAATTAGCTGTATATTCAATATTCCAGATGCCTGCGGTACCAACCTCTTCTTTCTCGAGACAGTCTGCTAGGGTTCGATAGATACGCTCGGGGCTCAGATTCATGCAAAGTTGCCGGATGATAAGATTGCCTCGAACTTCGAGCAAGCCTCGATCCGTAGAGAATAACTGAAGCAGATTGACCATGAACGATTTGAAATAGCTGTCATCGCTATTCCTTGAGATCTGCGAGAGGAGCTGAAGATCCTTCGTGACAACTGCCTCGGCCGGATCCGACAGTGTCTTGAGCAATGCGGGAAATGTCCCATCGTTGAATGCCACCACCTTCTTCGGAGCCTTACGATGTAGCATAATCAGCCAAGACAGTGCAGCGACTCTAGTGGCCTCGTTTTCATTGAGGAACTGAAGGGTGAGTGAATTGACGGCCGCGGCGTAATCAAGATCTGCTGGCGGCACTGGTGCCGGGGTGGACACGATACTACTTCGTGGTGTTTGCTCGGTCGAAGATTCTGGTTGTATAGGCTGTTTCCTGGAGTCGGCTGTTGATGCGTCGGTAAGCTTACTGCTAGGCGTGGAGGCCCTCCTCTCGACAAATTCCTTACTCGTGGGCAGCGCTTTCGAGCTGGACTGCTGGGTTTCGTCTGATGTGTCTTCCGACAAAGTGACAATGTATTCGAGCAAAGATGTATTCACCCTGTTTGCGGCCTGCCGCACCTGATCTGAGCCGCTGGACATTGCTGGAAGTACCTGGGTCAGAAGACGTGGCACAAAAGGCAGTATATCTTCGGGGCTGATTTCGAAAAAGCTATCGATCCAGCGTAGTGCGGTCAATTGCATCTCCTCATCTAGTAATGTGATCAGCCCATGGTCAATTTGCTCAAAATGATAGGTCATTCCACTCACCGAAAGAGGTGTTGACGAAACCCACGAGAATCTCCAATATCCTCGCATGATCAATCTGGACATCTTGCCCGGGAATCCAGTCGCCATCAACCTGCAACCCCTCGTCATCAATATCAGAATCCAACTCGGAATCTTCCACAGCATTCTCATTGCTCTCCGTTTCACCAGCGACGGCCTGTGTCGTCGTAGTGGTTGTGCTGGCGCTGTCGCTCGTAGCCGACTGTCTAATGTCGCTTCCTTGTCCTTTTCGGCTCTCTTCGAGCCCTTTTTTGAGTCGTGCAATCCTCTTGATCTCCGAAAGAAACCTGTCGAGAAGGGCTTGGGTGGCGACATTCACATCTCTGTTGGTGTCACCAAGGAATTTGATTAATCCGCCTAGAAATTCTGGCAGATAAGAAACGAGTTCCAAATCCGGAATCGTATCCAACAGTGTCAGCCAGGACACCAGAAACATGCGAGTGAAGGCGCTGATCACGAAGATTCGCTCTTTCAGGAGAGGAATGAATTTCGCAAGGGAAAAGGCGGTTGGCAGGTCTACTTCCTCCACGCTTTCAGAGTCAAAGTTATGCTTCTCAGAAAGCTGCAAGATCGATACGTAGGAGGCCGCAGACTCCGACACAATATCTTTGACCAGTCTGTCAAGAAGCTCTGCGCCATTTTTGACGGATAGTTCGGAATCGGACGCTAGCTGAAATTTTATGCCTTAGCAAATAGAACGTGAGGGATAGGTTGTTGGCGGAGAGTGGATGGTCTTGAAACTCACTTTACAGAGCGCATCGAATATCTCATTAAAGAACAACAGGACTTCCCCTTTCGCAACCTTGGCGATGTTGTACATGCTCTCACAAGCGTAATATCGGACGCGGGCATCTTGATCGGAAAAACATGCCAGGACCGGGGGTACGATCTCCTTCAGATACGGCGCAACTCCCTCCTGGTGTTCTTTTCTCAGTCCCGGGCCCGATGGGCGATCATTATTATCGACGGTTGTTGAACTCACAGATCCGAGTGCAATGGAGGCGGCGGCCAGCCCGATCAGACCACCGTTTCTCGCATGCGGTTGATGTACGGCGTAGGCGTAGTCATGGCAAAGCTGATCGACGATTTTCTGAATCTCCTCGTGTTCGCCCCTGAAGACGGCATCGCGGACGACTTTTTCGAGCCTATAGAGAATTCGCAAGTTCTATTAGCAAAAGCTGGTTGGTGCGGAGGCCGATCGCTCTCCGCAATCGTTCGGTGGTCCCTTACTCCAAGGCCCCCTGCTTCCTCCGATCGTAAAGCTTGTCATTCAACATGCGTTGAATTGAGTGATCCATCGCTTAGGTTCAACATAAGCTGGAATGAGTCACGCGCACTGAGCCTCCGCTAGATAATAATGCTCATGGTGGGAAGGACGATTGATTGTCCGGATGGGGGGGGGGTAGGCGGTGGGTCGAGCTCGTAGCTTCGTTGTAGCTATTCGCGAGCCATCGGCTATGACAATTCGCACGCGATGAGAAACTGGTCAAGGTCCTCTGTCAGATGCTCGAGCCGCCTCAGCAAGTCGATGTGGGGAGTACTCACAGCAGGATGCGTTGGCAGCGTGGATGGTGCCTTAGCGGACGCGGTGTGACGTAGTGTCAGCAACCACGACTTGCTTCTTACCGCCCCGTCCCAGTGGCCCTTCTTATGCATTCTGACAGTTCTTTGCCTTCTATAGTACAAACTACAAACAAGGGTACAAACGGGTTCAGATTATTTCAATGCTTGGTATAATCCTAGATTCCTAAATCTATTCTAATTCTAATAGATCTTTCACAAAAAATCATCATTCGCCAACATTCTCATATCAATGCCGCAAACGGCGCCAAACGGTCAATTCACAATCATAAAGATATCCCAAAAAAATATTAGTATAAAGATGAAGATAAAATGTATATGCTCCAATAAACGAAGTAGACCCAAGCAGCAAGCTCAATGACTGATATACTGGAATACCGCGGACACATCATGCTCCCCGGACTCCTGTCGCATCAGTAAATCTTGAATCTTGCTGAAATGCCCCTTCTCGCCGTCATTCACAAAATGGTTCCAAGAACTAGTATCGCCGTAGAGCATGGCGGGTGCCTTTATGAACTGCGATCCATCCGGCTTGCAGCGCTTGCATTTGAAAGTATCGTGCGTGTCGCTGCGAGTCTCTGGTTTGAACTGGAAGAGTTCACGAAGCGATTCGATAGAAAAGTGCCGCTCGACATCTTCAGCCGAATCCACAACACATGAGGAGAGAGACTGTTTATGCGATTGACGCTGGAAGATCTTCTCCTCGATCGACCCGGTCGCAATAAATCGGTAAACAAAGCAGTCTTTCTTTTGACCATCTCGCCAAACTCGTGCCAAAGCCTGCTGATCAGCAGCTGGGTTCCAGTCTGGGTCGAATAGCACGAGGCGATTTGCGCCGATCAGGTTCAAACCGCACCCTCCAGCCTTACTGCTGAGCAAGAAAACAAACTCATCTCCATCTGGGTTGTTGAATTTGTCGACTAATTTCTGTCGTTTGTTCACGTTCATCGTACCGTCCAGTCTCAGAGAGCCGTAACCTCTTGATCTGCACAGCTTCTCAAAGAGATCGAGTGTTTGCGTGTAGTTGCTAATAAGGACGATCTTATCGTTAGTATCCTGACGAATCCTTGCAAGCATTCTGTCCAAAACCATCATCTTTCCTGAATACCAAGACTTGATATCCCGGTCACGCCCTCGCCCTTCTGGTGGAACGTAGTCGTCAGGGAAGGCAAACTCGCAGCCTGGAAGATCGTTGGAAAGGTTGAGCAGGTCTGGGTGATTGCAAAGCTTTTTCAAAAGCCCAATTGCTTTCAAAGGTTGACTTCCTTTACCCCTGAGCAAGCTTCTAATCTCTGGGCTCTGGATAAAGTGGTTGTAAAGATCACGTTGAAACTGTGATAGACTGCAGAAAACGACATGCTCGTACTTGACGGGCAAGTATTTCGACAAGATGTCATTTGTCCGGCGAATAATGAACTTATTGACGATGCCAGAAAGCTCGACCAGTCGCTCGTCGCCCTTTTTGCGGTCCTCTTCTGTCCCTGCCGCATCTCTCCCTTTGAGGATGGGTAGTTCAAACTTTTTCCGGAACTCATTTTGTGACCCTAGCAAGTCGGGATTGGCGAAATTCAGTAGTGCAAAGTATTCTGAAAGGTCATTCTGGATTGGAGTTCCGGACAGAATCACACGACGCTGCACGTTCAAGCTATTGAGAGCAGTCCACGTCAGACTGTCCTTGTTTTTGAGTCGATGCCCTTCGTCGCACAGGAGCAGTCCGATTGGAGTATCTCTCAAGGTGTCGACGTACAACCGGAGTGTTTCGTACGACACTATGAGGACTGGCCTTACGACTGATCGGCCTGAAGCAATGGCCCATTGCTTGATCTGTGTGATAAGCTCTGCCTTTGACGCCTTACCGTCAATGGCGAAGGGTGTGGTGGCATCTTTGCCCAACCATTTCCCTGGGATATTTGTCAACAGACGTCTAAATGGAGCAACAAGAAGTCTTACCTAATTCATTGGCCCAGTTCCCTACCAGACTGGACGGGCAGGCAATGATGCATTTCTGAATGAGGGTCTTCCCTGCTTCTGGGGATTGTTTGAGTAGTGTCCACATCAATGAAATACATTGAAGCTGCTTCTGTCAGTTCAGCTCTCGCCATAGAGATCCGGCTAATCGTACCGTCTTTCCCAATCCCATTCCGTCGGCCATGATACAGCCATGTGCATTCGGGTCGACCATTCCAGTTGTGCAACGATAAAGAAACTATAAGTAAATTGGATTAGCTGGCTGGACTCTCTATTTGCATGAGGACTCCGTGTACAACCTTAACGCCTTCGATTTGATGGGGCCGTAAGACTTTGGCCAGTCTTGGATCAATGACGACCGGGACTTTTGGGCGCTCCTCTACATCCTTTTTCAGCCCAAGAATATCTGCCAAACTCTTGTGTACCAATGGTTCATCCAACTTCTGTTTTGTGTCTTCGGGTTGCGTTTCTTCCGCTTTATTCGGTTCGGCGTTTTGGTCGATATCGTCAATGGTCGGGTCGTACAGCACTATCGCAAATTCGCCACTGGGATCATGTAGAGGCTTCACAACAAATGTTGCGCCTTGTCTCATCCCCAACGTGGGTGCCGGTCTGGAGGCATCATAGTTGTCCGCCGATTTGTTGATCAATGGTATTTTGAAATTTTGCCTGAACACCGTGTCTTTGTCTTTCGCCTTGAAGACAGGAAACTTGTTCACGTCTCTGGTGGCAAGGGCCAATCGATCCTCGTTGGTGTACGGCTTCGTGCTGTCATCCTGGGCACTTCCATCCGCGCCGGCATAATTCACTTTGCGTCGCTTTCTCGAGGGCTTCTCTGATGCTCTTGTTGGTGTCGCAGTTCCGGGGCATTTGAAGGGTTTCGCGAGACGGTCGAGAGATACGGGCGTATTACTTTGCGGATACTTGGACGCGGGCGTGGTATCGCCACCAGCCGGGCGCGGTCGATACCTATAGAAATTTAGCGATTGTCTTGCAATTAGTTCAGAGAGCGATTATTAGTACATGAGTTCAGCCTTTCAGAAGTAAACACGCGGCAAGATATTCTTCCGGCAGAGCAACCGTGGTCTGTTGTTGTCAGTAGGGCAGTTATCAGCCGGCGACTTGATGGTTGATGATGACACACGCGTTGATGCTCCATGCGGCGCGTTGCCTAAGGCTGCCTAGAACACCAAAGTATCGCGGAGGCACGTGACCCGTGTGGAATTGCCTCGGCTCCCCGCCCCTCCTAAAGCGGAGACACTTGGGTGGCCAGCGAACGGAGGGACAATGGACTGGAATCTGCAGTTTCTCATCGTTACAGTTCGGCCCCATGTCGTCGGATTTCTGGGCCGGGTACCTTAGCGGTGCCGTAGGGATTATCATCGGTAACCCGCTCGATCTCGTCAAAGTTCGACTCCAGGCCGGCCAGGCAGGGAGCACTGCAACTTCCCCGCACCCGCATGTGAGCCGCCTAGAGAATGCACGCAACCTGGTGCGAGGTATGTCCACCATGCTTTCACGATACTATAATTCTATGATTGACTGGTGGGCGCTTTTCTAACGATACCTGTAGGCGCTGCTGCTCCTATTCTCGGATATGGGGCCCTCAATGCCATTCTCTTTGTCGCCTACAATCGGTCGTTGATGTTCTTGGACAACTCAATTCTCGATCCCACCAATCCCCAAACCACCTCGCTCTATAAGATATGGATTGCCGGTGCTGCAGGAGGAGTCGCCAGCTGGACTGTGTCGTCTCCAACGGAGTTCATCAAGTGTCGAGCGCAACTTGACACCCGACCAGGTGTTTCCTCCTGGACTGTTGCGAAAGACATTCTTCGAACTCGTGGGTGGAGAGGCCTCTACTACGGAGGAGCCATCACTTGTGTCAGGGACTCCATTGGCTATGGTTTTTAGTAGGTCACCGAGTCTTCCCCGTCTTGACTGTAATCATTCTTCGTCGGACACGGGACTCATCAGTACATCACAGTTTTTGGTCTTACGAGTATTGCAAACGATTGATGACGTCCGACGAGGACGATGCACGAGCCGCCGCAGCGAAGGTCCTTCTTTGTGGCGGGATAGCGGGAGTCGCCACGTGGGCATCGGTCTTTCCCTTAGATGTAATTAAGACTAGGCTCCAAGCACAGACGATTGCTGTGCAGCCCGAAAACCGCCAGTTGTTACCACCGCAGCATGAACGAAGGACGTTGAACACGTTTCAGCTATTTAGAGAAGCCTACCGTGCTGAGGGATTTAAAGTCTTCTACCGTGGCTTAGGCGTCTGCAGTATAAGAGCGTTTATGGTAAATGCTGTCCAGGTATGTTTTTGAAGTCTTTGTTTCCCTTTTCCTGCTCGGTTCGCTGATTGAATGGCATAGTGGGCAACATACGAATGGCTCATGAAGTATCTTAATGCCGACTGGACCCAGGCGCCTACTAACGTTGTTGCTAAAGAAGTATAGAATCATTATATAGAGAAAATAAGGATAGACCTCTTCGTTACGAACTTGCGATAAGCGGCACAGTCGATCTATTCTCCGTTGGCCCGGGGCCTGAACCTTCTCGGATATATATCTCTGTTGTTCGGTTCCAACCACGACACTTCATCTAGGTTTCTACTTCTATACCCCGTAAATACAGTAAAGTCACTGGTTGCTGAATTAAATCAATGGCTTTGGTTCTAGTTCAGAACCCAGTGCTACTAGACATATATTCGAATGTCGTGACATATGGAGTACATCCAATTAGTTATAAGGAACCCAGTGTTTCTTGGACATGTCGACCACAAAGATTCCCACTCGGGATCCCGAGTGTAAAAACCCTCCAAGATTACAAAATCTAGATAGAAGAGGCTGGACTCTACTCCGTATCAAGACAACAATAACTTGATGGCTAGGATCGGAGTGCCAACTAACATATAAATTGTTACTCCGTACAGACACTCCGGCCGAAAGGAGGACCAATGAGAAAGCCAGTAAAACAAGCACTACACCCTACGGTGAGTCTCCTAGTTTCCTACCCCGTACTCACGACTCACCGAGTTGCTGATTATTATTATTATTATTACTCGGCTATGGAGCAGTTGCCAAAAAAAAAACCGTGTATTATTATTGCAGCTTGTAAAAAAATTTCGTTCTAATGGCAGTAGGGGCCGACCGGGTGGGTCCTACTATCCAGCATTCCGAGAAGCGGCGCTTTCGAACGGGGTGACCGCCAGACGAAAGCAGCGCAATTCGGGGGATTCCCCTTTTGCGGCGGTTTTCGGCACTGGTGCTGTTCACGTGCCCGCCCTTTTTTGCGCCGATCGCTGACTAAGTGACTAGCCAATCAGATCGCGTTCGAGACAACGTCAAAGTTGTAGATATCGCGCCGCAAATTTTTTTTACTTGGTGAAAAGGTCCATCCCAGTATTGTCGGTTTCCCATAGAGCTCTCTATAAGATAGAAGAACTTGCTGCGTCGCATTCGAGATCCATCACCTGGTAACCGTAGAGACCGATAGGCGAAAGATCTATTCCTCCATGTCGACGACGGTCTCCTGCGAACGTTGGCCGTTATCGTGGCGCAAACCCACGGCGGCGTCGGAGAGCTTTTGAGTATGAGGTTCTTCCCGGAGAATTTTCACTCTGTCAAGAGGTATAAAGAGTCAGCGCAAAATTCGCGACACGGCGCTGGGCGCAAAACGAGACAACCGACCTTCTCTTGTGGTTCTTGCCCTTCCGGTGGGCGATCATGTTGTGCTCGCTTTCAAACCATTTCGAACATTCGACGCAGTAATGCTTTCCGAGACCTGGGAGATCCTCGAGGTCTTTGGATTCTTTGTACTGCTCCAGATGGCGGGGAGATTCGATATCGCTCCGGACTTGGTCATAACCTCTGTAGATTACCCTGCATTAGTCGCGCAAGAGATTGTTTGACCGACACGGTCGTAGCATCATGGTAGGACATGGGAGAGAGCAGTACCTAGTTAGACGCTTCGTCTTGAGTCTTCTCACGGGCGCCATAATTATTGAATTTTTTTTTTTTTAGATGAATTAATTTTTTTAATCTTGAATTTTCGATAGCTGTATGCCAAAAACAGGTTGAGGTCCCGGTCGAAGAGAGTCGCGAAGGATTACCACCGATAAACGGAAACGAGAGCGGGTCGGGGGCAGGACGAAAAAACCCGTCGGCGTCTCTCTCAGTCTCTTTCTGTGTGCGACGAGAGAAAAAGCAGGAAACGGGCGGGCTGTGATTGGCGCCGGTCCACGGGGGTTACCGTCGGCAGGCCTCGGCTCTGACTCGGCTCTCTCCGTAATTTATGACGTTTCTACTTTGTTCGCGCTGTTCGGCACGTTGCTCCGGACTACCCAGCGTGAACCGGTTAATCAGCACGGTTCCATCTAGATTGTTTGGCGAATACTGTGAGGATTTCTCATTGTTAATTATAGATCGCAGATAGGGGATTTGTCCGAATATCATCCTCAACCACGAGTGTTGGTTTCCCCCCGACGGTGGTGGACAAGGAGGCAAGGCAAGGCAGGGTAGGATTGAACGACGCATCCATGATGTCGTAGCAGGATGTAATCATCTGCATCTGATTCGTCACCCGTGCTGCTACCCGTCTCACATGCGCCGGTCCACCGGACTACCTGGTATCGGTATTACCACGTACGGTGTACACATCGTAAGGACTAAGGAGTGTCTGGCAGACCATTCACGATGAAGTCGTTTCAAATCGTCTGTCCATGGGGAGGCGCCGAGGATGAGCCTGACGGGTGCTGGTGAACCTAGGTCCGAGAATAAAAAGCAAGAATTAAATAATAAGATCCAAAAATCAAAAATAACCAGGCCTGTCAGAGGAGTAAGGAAGGGGGAATGTGCGGGTTGCCCAGCCACTTCCTTGTCTCCGGTAGAGTACTAGAGCGTCCCGAATGCGTACGGGCGGCGGTATTGTCACGAGCGGTTACGGTCCTCGTCGCCGGTTCAGTCAACTTAGGGATTTCTTTTTCCCACTCTAAAAAAACACCAAGCTTCCCTTTTATCTACTCCATTCTCCCTTGATTTCTCCTTCTTCTTCTTCTTCCTCTTCTTCCTCCCCCTCTCCACTCCATCCTTCGCTGCTTCTATCTCTCCTGAAGTTAGCTTTTTCTTGCTGCTTTGGACTAGCTCTCATTGGAAGTGTCGCGGCCTTGCACCTCGCATAGAGAGCTTCCATCATGATCTCCACAAGGCTTGCGCGCATGGGTGCGCTGGTAAGTCCTCCCGACTCGCCTCTTCTGCCCGCGATGCTCATGCTAGTCTCGTCGCTCGACGTGATGGCAACCAGCTCGTCTGGGCTCATTTCGGTGGAAATCAAATGCTAACGTGTCTTCGCCTTAGGCCCCTAAGTCCCGTCTTGTAAGCTCCCTCTCACTGGAGATTCCCTGCTTGCCACAAAGCTGCGCAGGGAAGGAAAAAATTGCCATGGGTTTGCGCTCTGCAGAAATTGAAAACTAACATGACATGCAGTTCCTCGGGTCTCGGGGTCTGGCCACCGTCAACGAGTCTGCCCTCGACAAGAAGGTCGAGATGACCAACTCTGAGAAGGTGAGTGGACGCGAAATCCCCTTCCACTCTCCCGGCTCCGCCGGCTAGAGCGGGTATTTCCGTATACGGAAGGCATTGGCTAACAACCATCTTCGCAGGGTAACTTCATTAACTACAAGTATGCTGGCGCCCTCCCTATTATTACACTCCCTTGTTAGAAGATTTGCTCGATGAAATCTCGACCGGGGGAAAAAAAAAGGAAGAAGATGTATTAGAGAATGAGCGATCGTCTAATATGCTTTTCAATCTTATAGGAAGATGTCCGAGAACCTGGACATTGTTCGTCGCCGATTGAGCCGTCCTCTTACCTACGCCGAGAAGGTCCTCTACTCTCACTTGGACGACCCTCACGGCCAGGACATCGAGCGTGGTACTTCCTACCTGAAGCTGCGCCCCGACCGTGTTGCTTGCCAGGATGCCACCGCTCAGATGGCTATCCTTCAGTTCATGTCCGCTGGCATGCCCTCGGTCGCCACTCCTACCACCGTCCACTGCGACCACTTGATTGAGGCCCAGGTTGGTGGTGAGAAGGATCTGGCTCGCGCCAACGACATCAACAAGGAGGTCTACGACTTCTTGGCCTCCTCGACCGCCAAGTACAACATTGGTTTCTGGAAGCCCGGTTCCGGTATCATCCACCAGATCGTCCTGGAGAACTATGCCTTCCCCGGTGGTCTGATGATCGGCACCGACTCTCACACCCCTAATGCTGGTGGTCTCGCCATGGCTGCTATCGGTGTCGGTGGTGCTGATGCCGTCGACGTTATGGCTGGTCTCCCCTGGGAGTTGAAGGCCCCCAAGGTCATCGGTGTTAAGCTTACCGGCGAGCTGTCCGGATGGGCCACCCCTAAGGATATTATCCTCAAGGTTGCTGGTCTCCTGACCGTCAAGGGTGGTACTGGTGCCATCATTGAGTACCACGGCCCTGGTGTCAACTCTCTTTCTTGCACTGGTATGGGTACCATCTGTAACATGGGTGCTGAGATTGGTGCCACTACCTCGATGTTCCCCTTCAACGACCGCATGCACGACTACCTGCGCGCCACCAAGCGTACTGCCATCGGTGACTTCGCCCGCTCGTACGCCAAGGAGCTCCGTGAAGACGAGGGCGCCGAGTACGACCAGCTGATTGAGATCAACCTCTCTGAGCTTGAGCCTCACATCAACGGTCCTTTCACCCCCGATCTTGCCACTCCCATCTCCCAGTTCAAGGCGGCTGTGGAGGCCAACAAGTGGCCCGAGGAGCTGAAGGTCGGTCTCATCGGATCTTGCACCAACTCTTCCTACGAGGACATGTCTCGTTCCGCTTCCATCGCCCGGGACGCTCTTGACCACGGTGTCAAGTCCAAGTCTCTGTTCACCGTCACCCCCGGTTCCGAGCAGATCCGTGCCACCATCGAGCGTGACGGCCAGCTGCAGACCCTCGAAGAGTTCGGCGGTGTCATCCTTGCCAACGCTTGCGGTCCCTGCATTGGTCAGTGGGACCGTAAGGACGTCAAGAAGGGCGAGGCCAACTCCATCATCTCTTCCTACAACCGTAACTTCACCGGCCGTAACGACGCCAACCCTGCTACTCACGCTTTCGTCGCCTCCCCCGACCTTGTCCTTGCCATGTGCGTTGCCGGTACTCTCAAGTTCAACCCTCTCACCGACACCCTGAAGGACAAGGATGGTAAGGAGTTCATGCTCAAGCCTCCCTCCGGTGATGGTCTTCCCAACCGGGGCTACGACCCCGGTCAGGACACCTACCAGGCCCCTCCCGCGGACCGTGAGTCCATCAGTGTTGCTGTCTCCCCCGAGAGTGACCGTCTGCAGCTCCTCGGTGGCTTCGCCGCTTGGGACGGAAAGGACGCCACCGACATCCCCATCCTGATCAAGTGCCAGGGCAAGACCACCACCGATCACATCTCCATGGCTGGCCCGTGGTTGAAGTACCGTGGACATCTTGACAACATCTCCAACAACATGCTGATCGGTGCCACCAACGCCGAGAACGGCGAGGCCAACAAGATCCGCAACGCTTTCACCGGCGAGTTCGATGCCGTCCCCGCCACTGCCCGTGACTACAAGGCTCGCGGTGTTAAGTGGGTTGTCATCGGTGACTGGAACTATGGCGAGGGTAGCTCCCGTGAGCACGCCGCTCTCGAGCCCCGTCACCTGGGTGGTCTTGCCATCATCACCCGCTCCTTTGCCCGTATCCACGAGACCAACCTGAAGAAGCAGGGTATGCTTCCTCTCACCTTCTCCGACCCCGCCGACTACGACAAGATCCAGCCCACCGACACCGTTGACCTGCTCTGCACCGAGCTCGAGGTTGGCAAGCCCATCACCCTCCGTGTCCACCCCAAGAACGGCTCCTCCTTCGACATCAAGCTGAGCCACACCTTCAACGAGTCCCAGATCGAGTGGTTCCGGGACGGTTCCGCTCTCAACACCATGGCCCGCAAGGCTGGCAACTAAATTAATAGTTGATAGTGCACTTGACGGCGTCCGGTTGACGACGATTCGTTTGTAAAATATGTTCCGTTTGTTTCTATCCAACAAGAGGAAACACATCGCCCCAAAGCTCCCGCTGGCAGTATATGGCTATGCCTGTATTACCTCGGGGCTGGAGGCTTCACCCGGTGCAATGCCGCACCGCAGATATTAGCGGCTGCTAATAGTATTTCTTATGATGGGAAATGCGGAGTCGAGTGTGAAAAATTTTAACGATTTGCTTATTTATTCTTCTGCCTTTGCTTTGTACTCTTTTTGAGTTTGGGTGGACTACATGGATATAGTCTTTGCTTTATTTTTTCATTTTTGTTATATCATATCACCTACTGTATGTTAGGACTGCATGCATACCATTTTTCCTTGTGTTCAAGACTTCGTCTCTTCGGATTCTGTTCCGTGGTCTTTCAACTGCATAGAACTAGAATCAAGCTGGAGTGCCATAATACCGTATCTGACTCCACCGTATCAATATTCAATTGTAAGCCCAAGCACGAATCTTCCGAAGTGGCTGACATAATATCGCGTGCTCAGCCGAGGCCTTCGACCTGCTGCGTTGCCCCGCCGGGGAGATAACCTAGGTTGGAGTATATCGGGGATCCTTGGATGTAGACAGCTTCTCGTCCCTTGTGCGCCGACCCCCTTTCGTACCACCACAATTCATGAGCTGTTTTCGTGGTTCCTGATTATTTCATCGCTCATTGCTCATCAATTCAACTTTGGTCATGGCTGCGCAACTTACTCCCTTACCGGAGGTGGAGAGACTCAGTTCCTCGGTGGTGAGGATATTAGGTGGAAACCCCGGCAAGGTCGGTTAATGCTGATGTTGTTCATCGCTCTGTCTGTCTCACATGCTGATTCCTATCTAATAGTTCACACTACAAGGTAACATTTTCTCCTTGTTCTCCAGGTGAAGGCCTATTAATCCGAGAATCACTTACCCAGGAACAAACACGTACTTGGTCGGCCGAGGGCATCAACGGATTCTCATCGACACTGGTGAGGGCAAACCCGCCTGGGCGTCACAACTTCAGGCTCTACTATCTCAAGAGAATGCCACGGTGCATGAGGCGCTCATCACGCATTGGCACGGTGATCATGTCCATGGGATCCCAGACCTACGGAAGATTTGTCCCAATGCGACAATCTACAAGCGCGATCCGGAAGACGGCGAGATTGACATCGAGGATGGTCAGCTTTTCCGAGTCGACGGAGCTACGCTGAGAGCGATGCATACGCCCGGACATACCACCGACCACATGGCTTTTGTTCTCGAGGAAGAAGATGCCATTTTCACCGGAGACAGTGCGTCGTTCCCTTGCGCCACTTCCGACTAACAATTGTTTCAAAGACTAACTCTGGTTCTTTTTTACTAGATGTTCTGGGCCACGGCACTGCTGTGTTTGAAGATCTGAGCGTCTACTTGTCTAGCCTGCAGAGAATGCAGAATCGCGTTGGCGGCCGCGGGTATCCTGGCCATGGAGCGGTGATTGAGAACGCCACGGCCAGGGTCACGGAATACATCAGACATCGACAGCAGCGCGAAAATGAAGTGGTTCGTGTCCTACGCTACGGCAAACTTGACGTGTCCGACCACGAACGATCGCCCGAACGGAAGCCAGCTATGACGCCCCTTGAACTCGTCAAAGTGATCTATCAAGATGTCCCGGAAAGCCTCCATCTGCCTGCGTCACACGGTGTCCTGCAGGTGTTGATGAAACTAGAGGTCGAGGGGAGGACAGTTCATGACAGGGAAACGGGAAAATGGAGGCTAGCAGGGAAGTCTGCACTATGATGCGCAGTCGAACCGATGGGACATTGGGCAGAAAGAGAACCTGTCGTTCTCGACCATGACGCCATTGAATGACATCCGCGATAGCTGTGCTTTCTGGGAATGGGAGTCCGTGGTTATGCAAAGCGCCAAACCTATCAGACGGCGTACGGAGTAGGTAGGAGTAGCTATCTGTATTTCTTTGTTGGAATTCGACTCGTATTTTAAAGTTCCCAGCGTTGGCATCATCGTTGATCTCCACGATGCATCGTGACTGGCTGGGTCGCCATCCGCATCTGACCTCATCGCCGAGACTTTCTGCCGCGCAGTACCACCTTTTGACCTTTGACTTCCTTTCTTTCCTCTCCCTCTTCCCCGCTTAGTCTGTCAAACTTCCCTCTTTCTCTTCGCCATCGTCGCTCAACGCTACTTGACAACCAACCCGCAGGACAAGAGAGAAAGAACTAATCCCCATATAGTCGATGAACTTGCTAGTGAAGAGCCGAAGTGACCCGCCGCCTTCCGCATTAACAAACAGTGTCGTTCTGTCGAAGCCTGGGTCGGTTGGTCCGCGCGCCTGGCCAACTGCTGGGCTCTGAGGTCACCCCTACCAACTCTTTCACTGTTCCCCCCCGCCGGCGTTCTGCTTGTCGCCCCGCTCTCGGCGAGCTGTTCTTGATTCACGCTGGACTGCTCCCCTCCATTTATTTCTCTTTTTCACCGGCTTTACCGGTACATTGGCCCCTTGTCAATATATTTTTTTCTTCTTTACCTATTTTTTCTACTTATTCCTTTTCCCTCTTGACCTTCCGCGGTGTTGACCTATCCTTTCCTTCTGTAAAAATACCAAACCAAAATATTCGCATCGTTCGAAAGCCCGATCATTTTTATCTTCATTCTTTCCTGAGCGACTCCGATATCTGTCCTCGCCCGTCCGTATTTGGTCGTTGTTTACTTCGTGGGCTTCAATCGCATATACAGCGTCTTTGCCAATATCGCCCGTCGAAATGCCTTCTCTTGACAACCCCGTCCAGAACGACGCAAGGCTGCTTCTTGTCTCTAACAGACTACCGATCACCATCAAACGCTCCGAGGATGGCAGATATGACTTTTCAATGTCCTCCGGTGGTCTCGTCAGTGGTCTGAGCGGCCTGTCGAAGTCTACTACCTTCCAATGGTATGGCTGGCCCGGCTTGGAGGTTCCCGAGGAGGAGGTGCCGGTTGTCAAGCAGCGGTTGAAGGATGAGTACGGGGCCGTCCCCGTGTTCATCGACGATGATCTTGCGGATCGCCACTATAACGGCTTCTCCAGTCAGTTCACCCTACCGTGTCCCCCAGTTCACGCAGTCCAAATACATTTAGATCAAAGAAATATCTCGGATGATGTCATTTGCTGATAAGACTCTCCGTCCTGGCTAGATTCGATCCTGTGGCCTCTTTTCCACTATCACCCCGGCGAAATCACTTTCGATGAATCCGCTTGGGAAGCCTACAAGGAAGCGAACCGCCTTTTCGCCAAAGCCGTCGCGAAGGAGGTTCGGGATGGCGACTTGATCTGGGTCCACGATTATCATCTGATGCTTCTCCCTGAAATGCTTCGGGAGGAAATCGGGGACTCCAAGGATAATGTCAAGATTGGCTTCTTCCTGCACACTCCATTCCCTAGCAGCGAGATTTACAGAATTCTCCCGGTGCGGAACGAGCTATTACTGGGCGTCCTACACTGTGATCTCATCGGGTTCCATACCTATGATTACACCAGACACTTCTTGAGCGCCTGCTCGCGCTTACTGTACGATGAGTCCCGTTTCCATTTGCTGTGCACGGATGCTAATGTGGAATCTCCAGAGGTCTCGCAACCACACCCAACGGGATAGATTTCCAAGGCAAGATCATTGCGTGTGGCGCATTCCCGATCGGTATCGACCCGGAGAAGTTCCAAGAAGGGTTAAAGAAAGAAAAGGTGCAAAAACGGATTGCAATGTTGGAACAGAAGTTCCAGGGCGTAAAGCTCATGGTGGGCGTCGACCGTCTTGATTATATAAAGGGTGTTCCCCAGAAGTTGCATGCGCTTGAGGTATTTCTGAGTGATCATCCGGAATGGGTGGGAAAGGTTGTCTTGGTTCAAGTTGCAGTGCCTAGCAGGCAAGACGTGGAAGAATACCAGAACCTGAGGGCCGTGGTGAATGAGCTTGTCGGTAGGATTAATGGCAAGTTTGGTAAGTTTCCCTCGGTAGCCATGTGATGATCGATAGCTAACGCGCTGCAGGCACCGTCGAGTTTATGCCTATTCATTTCCTGCACAAGTCTGTCAACTTCGATGAACTACTCGCTCTTTACGCTGTCTCCGATGCTTGCATCGTCTCATCTACCCGAGATGGCATGAACCTTGTCGCATATGAATATATTGCTGCACAGCAGAACCGTCATGGCGTTTTGGTGTTGTCAGAATTTGCCGGCGCAGCTCAAAGTTTGAACGGCAGTATAATAATCAACCCCTGGAACACGGAGGAGCTTGCTGGTGCTTATCAGGAAGCTGTCACCATGAGCGACGAGCAGCGAGCCTTGAATTTTTCCAAGTTGGATCGATATGTCAATAAGTACACAAGGTATGTGCCCACCGCCCCTACATACCCATCAAGCACACGATTCTAATACTTTTCAGTGCCTTCTGGGGCCAGTCATTTGTGACTGAACTAACGAGGATCTCTACACACTCCGCCGAGAAATTCCATTCTAGAAAGAATGCCTTAGGCGACGGCAACGGCGAGCAAACTAATGGCACTTCCACTCAGGAAAATGGGCACTTGGCAGTGCCATCAGCTTGATGATACTGCTTGTTACTCTCTCCACTGAGGTGACGTGTAAATGTATGAATGAATGATGCCTCAGATTATGGTTTCCTTTTCTCTTCTTGCTTCCTCTTTCCATGGGTTTGATGAATCACCGGGTATGGCGCAAGGAGTCTACTTTATATGAATTGGCTACGTTTTCGGTTACATGAAATCCTTCTAGTGTGATTCTAGTACTCTAGACTATGGAATGGGAATAAGGTTCGGTGTTAGTGTATTGTATAAAAGCACCTTGTTTTATTAGCCAGGTCGTTTGTTAAGGTGCATCTCAACTCTGCAAAATTAATTTTCAACATTACATAGATTATGGAATAATAGTAGATTATTTATCTTGGAATTTGCCGAACGCTTTAATAGCCATCCATAGTTGCTACATGCATGAACCTGGGGTGGTTGCTTGGAATCGGGCGAGTGCAAACAATGCAAACACCTCCAAGAGAAATTCTCGGACTCGCGGCGGACTCCAAGGACCTCCATCGCATTGAACGCTTCGTACCTTCGACCATTGAGCCTGGTCGACCATCTTATTTCTTAGAGCTCCCTGCTAAAATCCTTGTGCAAGCGGATTCCGAGGTTTAGACTCTGTCTTACATCACCTCCAGCCACCAGTCTTACGCGCCGTTGTGGTTGTCCCCCGCTTCCAGCGTCCGTGATACTTACGAGGAGCATTCGCCTACATCTCTCTACAGCTACAGAACATGTCTCCGAGCAATATCCTGAGGGTAATGCAGCCCCTACGATCATCCGTCCTCAGAACAGCGACCGGCTCGTTCCCAGCCGCGCGCTCTCTCCAGTCTTCAACACCGAGTTTCATCTCCGGGCTGGCACCATTCCGACGATCCAACTCTACTACTACCACCACTCCTCCTGTCGAGTCACACTCGTCGACGTCGACACCGCTATCTACTCCCCCCTCTCTCCGCAACTATGCCTACTCGACCAAGACGGGCACCGTCGAATCGGTCGGCCGCATGGACCGTACCGTCCGCGTCAGCCACCGGCACAACAGCTGGGACTCGCACCTGCAAAAGACCTTCCCTAAGGTCACAACCTTCCTGGTGTCGGATCCGAATAACTCGCTTCGCGAGGGTGACGTGATTGAGTTCACCTCCGGAGCCCCGAAGAGTCGGAACGTGCGCCACGTCGTGGAGCGCATCATTGCCCCCTTTGGAACGAACATCGACGAGCGGCCGCCGGTGAAGACACGCGAGGAGAGAGAAGCCGAGCGAGTGGCCAAGAGAGCGGCTAAGTGGCAGCGCCGAGAAACTAGGCGATTGGAGCGTGGAGGTGAGGGCGTGAAGGAGCATGTGGGCCGGGTTAGGCGGTTGGTTAACGAGAGGACTGGAGGCGGCGTTGCGGTGCAAGAGACGGTGGTTTGAGCTTGTCGATGGAGTTCCTTTGTTTGTTTTGAAAGATTTGTTCTCTCTTGTTGGCCCTTGCTTTTATGATTGTACAAGATATAGGATGGAGGTGCAGGGGTCTCTCTTGAGAAAGCTTGTTGTTTTTCTTGTCCAGGCGTGAGTAGATGGCTTGGTTTAAAGTGTATATTATACTTACTTTCATCATGCATAATCTTGCAGCTGTTTCATTCTATTGTGTCTAGCCTGTCTGTCCATTGACTACCATATCTTCCCATTCTCTAACTCTCCATGTATCATTGTTCAACGCCTTCCTGCCCTGCTGTATTAAAGATTGATTCTCTTTACGGTTTAGACAGAAAATGGATGCCAAATCCATGATAAGAAAGCATGATTAAGAACATGAACCTACACTCTACTCTGTATATCCCACCACTAACTGCACCGTAGTCCAACCAAGGCCGACGACGAAGGCACTTTGATAGGGCCTGGGCGGTGAGAGTGGCTGAGGGGGATACTGCCGGATAATGGGTGCCAAGGCCGCTCTTTGGGTCGCGAAGTCACCCCAGCGACTTGTTCCGTTGTTTACCCTCCATCTTCCTTTTCTCTTCCACTGTTTCATTGAACCTGACCGTCATTCCCTCTTCTGTTCCCTTTGAGTCTCCGTTCTATATATTGGACGCGGAACACCTTTCGACCTCCCCCCATTCTCTTACTCTCGACCACTATCCTCGACTTGGACGTCGGTCGTGCACACACCATCCCCTGTCCGACCATACACAAGATCTGCAACCGTCTGCAAGCCTAAGGTGTGTTTATGACTGTGCGCATCTGGCAGTCCCGCTGTCACTTTGGAGCGCGCTACCCCCAAACTACGAAGCGAACAGTCCCGATGAGTTGTTTATCTTCCGCAATTCCGCAGCCCATCAGGACTCTCGAGCGCAAACCCACCCGTTGATGCGCCTTTCTTTTCCCTGTCAAGTGCATATCGCTAATTCTTGATTCTTCTCTATTCTAGTGAGGCTAAACCGTCATAATGGCTGAGGGAGAGGAGGACTTTTCTTCTCTGCCATTGCCAGACCGATTTACGCACAAGGTGAGTCTATCTCCATGGAAAATTTGCTTTCCCCAAAGTTTAAATACTAATCACTTTTGTCAATTCAGGCCTGGAAAGTAAGAAAGGAGGGCTACGAGGATGCCAAAAAACAATTCGAAAAAACCGCCGATGAATCGGATCCCGTTTTCACACCGTTCACACAAGACCCGAGTTTATGGAAAGGCGCCGTTGCGGATTCCAACGTTGCTGCCCAGCAAGAGGGTCTCGGGTCCTATTGTTCATTTCTGAAATTCGGCGGATCTCAGGCCTGTACTAGGTATGTGGTTTCAATTATTGCGTAGATAATTTCTATTTCCCTCTTATCTCTCTAAATTGTCTTTTTGCTAATGGATTGTCATATGCAGAACTCGCGGTTACACAGTTTTCCCTATCGTCGAAAAGGGCCTTCCGTCAGCAAGACCCGCGGCAAAGACAAATGCGCTCGAGGCCCTTTTACTATGTGTGGAGATGGATAAGCCGGATCCTGTGATCGAAGAAATGATACCCGGATTGTCACACAAAGTTCCCAAAGTGATCGCCGCGACGCTGGTGGGGCTGCGAAACATTTACCATAATTTTGGCTGCAAGATTGTCGACCCTAAGCCGGTATTAAAGGCGTTGCCGAAGGTTTTTGGTCACGCGGATAAGAATGTCCGTGCTGAGGCGCAGAATCTCACGGTGGAATTGTATCGGTGGCTGAGAGAAGCTATTAAGCCTCTCTTCTTTCAGGATCTGAAAGAGGTGCAGCAAAAGGATCTGGAAAAACTGTTCGAGAACGTCAAACAGGAGCAAGCACCGAAACAAGAGCGACTGACCAAAGCACAACAAGATGCGATGGCAGTTGCCAGTTCCGCCCCTGAGGGCGGCGAAGTTGGTGAAGAGGCGGAAGAATTCGAAGAAGAAGGTGGCGAAGTCGATGTCTTTGATCTAGCAGAGCCCGTCGATGTATTGTCCAAGGTCCCCGGTGACTTTTTGGATCAGGTGGCGTCGTCGAAGTGGAAGGAAAGGAAGGATACCGTGGAAGCGCTCCATGGAGTCCTGAACGTGCCCAAAATCAAGGACGGCCCCTTCAATGACATAGTCCAGGCATTGGCTAAATGCATGAAAGACGCCAACATTCAAGTCGTGACCGCGGCAGCCAACTGTATCGATTTACTTGCAAAAGGCCTTCGCAGCAGCTTCGCCAAACATCGCTCGGTGGTAATGTCGCCTATGATGGAGCGTTTGAAGGAGAAGAAACAGACTGTGGCAGACGCGCTTGGTGGAGCTTTGGATTCTGTATTTTTGTCCACCAACCTGTCGGACTGCCTCGAGGAAATCCTCGAGTTTCTGAAGCACAAAAACCCGCAGGTGAAGCAGGAGACACTCAAATTCCTGATTCGTTGCCTTCGTACCACCAGAGATGTTCCCGCCAAACCAGAAGTGAAGTCGATTGCGGAGGCAGGTACTAAGCTTCTAACAGATTCTGTTGAGGTGAATCGTGCGGGAGGAGCAGAGGTACTCGGTACTTTGATGAAGATTATAGGCGAGCGAGCTATGAACCCTTACCTCGATGGACTTGACGATATTCGGAAGACGAAGATCAAGGAATTCTTTGATACCGCCGAAGTCAAGGCCAAAGAGCGACCCAAGCCTGTCGCTCCCCCGCCAAAGGCAGCCCCTGCAGCTGGAAAGAAGGTAGTCGGCGGCAGAAAGCCAGCGTTGGGAATGAAGAAACCTTCTGCTGCTGCAGCAGCACCACCCCCTGCCGAAGATCCTCCAATTATCCCTCCCTCTCCCGCGAAACCGGCCACCAGATCTATCCCGTCAAAATTAGGTGCCGCAAGGCCTGGCGGTCTCCCTACGCCTGGCTCGGGCCTCAAGAAGAGGCTCGGCGCCCCAGGGGGGGTTGCATCGCCGCAGGCACGACGAGTTGTTTCGCCACCAACAGAGGAACAACCCCCCGCACCTGCTGCTCCGAAGTTTGGCCTCACCCGAGGACTTGCAGGACGGCCAATCGCTAAACCCGCGGCTGCCAGTGAGCCTGCTCCGGCGCCGGCAGCTCCTCAGGTAAGCGGCATGACCGCTGCTGAGCGCGCTGAATTGGAAGAGTTGCGTCTTGAGAAAGAGCGGTTTACCCGGACGGTAGAGGACTTGAAGTCCGAACGAACTACACTGAACTTGCAAGTGACCGAGTTGCAAAACCAGAACGCTCAGTTGATCGAAGACCACACGAGAGACGTTCTCGGCATCAAGGCCAAAGAGACCCAGTTGGTGCGGGCACGGAGTGACGCAGAGACTGCTGAGCAGACTGTACAGAAACAACAGCGAGAGATCGAGCGCCTCAAGCGCGAGTTGGCAAGAGCTCTTCGTGCAAGTACCGTCAGCCCGCCCAATACGATGTCCGACAGCATGAGCCTGCCTGTTCCGGACGCCGACTCAGTATACCAAGATTCAAGCAACGGACACGGGCCCATTTCCCGAGCTGGGTTGCAACATATGGGATCACGGTTTGACAGCTCGCGGCCACGAAGCTACGCATCAGCTAGTCCCAGCGAAGAGAAGGAGAACAATGGCCTCGATTCGCCAGGACTCGGCAGCAGAGATGGAGGCCTCGGCCGACGAAAACTGAGCCCTACCTTTGGCACGAGCTATTCGGGTATGGGCAGTCCGACTAGATCGTCCATCTTGGGCTCGGGCAATGCCTCCGGTGAAGATCAGCCTGCCCGAAGGACCGAACCTGCAGAGAACTGGAAGAGAGCAGCGGAGGTCACAACGCAACTTAAGGCACGAATTGAACAAATGAAGGTTAGTCTAGTCTTCCCCCCTTATCTATATCCTTATATTTCATTGCTAACAGCGCATGTCTACTAGGCCAAACAAGGTCTCACGCGACCTCCTGCCCAACGTTAACGACCGAATGAATTTACCCTTTTCTTGTAATTTTCTTTTTCTCTCTCTTTCTTCGGTTCTGCCTTCAACTGGGTTCAAGGTTCTTGCCTCTCTTCCTCTTCCTGTGTTTTTAGATTTCCCACACATCCATCTACATATCCACGAGGGTTTCTCTTTCACCGGTTCCATTTACTTTTCAGTTTTAGGCGGGCTGGGGCTGGCTAACTTCTTTCTTCATCTTCCATCTCTACCCGCATTTCTCTCTGTTTATGTTGTCGGTTATCGTCTAGTCCGGTTTTTGATCTGGTTTGGTCAGGTTGTTTGTTCTAAGGCATTGAATATTCGTTCTTTTTCGTTCTTTTCATCGGGGTGTTTAGTCTTGTTTTTTGTGGCTTATGTCTGTCTTTCGAAAGACAAATATCCATCTGTTAGGTTGTTAGGCTGCTAGGTTGTGTTTATTACAAAAGGGGAATTGGAACTTTTTTATTGTTGTTTGATTTCGTTCTGTTTGTGTTTGGGTTGGGTTCCTAGCTTCATACATGTTGTATGTGGAAAAATTTTCTACAGACTACAGAGCAGACACATGAATGCTTGAATGTAATTCAGCTACGAGAAGGGTAGTTGCTGAGGGTGATGTCTGAAATAGCATTCATGGGTATCTGCGAGGTGTACATAGAGAAAAAAAGACAACGGACAAGGAACCATTCAAGAATGGATTGGGATTTTAGGATAAGCTAAAGCCGTCAACAAGTCAACCGAGAAACGAAGCCTCCCTCGTTCCTAAAACTTTTGGTCATTCTTGGAATGCTAAGTTAATTGTCCATTGCCGAAGAATTTTTGTTTTAAAGACTGGTCATTAAGATCGTTGGGTATGAATAACGATTTTTTGGTGCCCTTCCGGTGGGTAAGTATCTAGGCTATTTCTAGCTTAGACGCGGATGGCACCCTCAATGGCCTTGCGCTTCTTCTCCTGGCGGGCGACAGCCTTGGCACCCATGATACCACCACCCCAGTGGCGGCGGGAGTCCTCGTACTTGTCGGTGTAGCCCTCCTTGATGGCGGAGAGGAGCTTGGAGAACTCAGCCTTGTCCTCGGAGCGGGTCTCGGTGAGAGCGAGAACAGCGGAGGTCTAGAGGGGATTGTATTAGTATGTTTGTTGGTTTTGATTTTCGTGGGGAGACAGCTTTTTCTTACCTTCTTGTGGACAACGGTACCGAGACGGGCCTTGCCCTTGACGATGGCGTAGGGGACACCCATCTTGCGGCAGAGAGCGGGAAGGAAGACAACCAGCTCAATGGGGTCAACGTCGTGGGCGATGAGAACGAGAGAAGCCTTCTTGTTCTCAACGAGACCGACAACGTGGTTCAGACCGTACTTGACGTGGTAGGGCTTCTTGGAGACATCCTCCTTCTTCTTGCCCTCGGAGACGGCGGTGGCCTCGGCGTGGAGACGCTCCTTCTTCTCGACCTTGGTCTCGGGGCGGTACTTGTTGAGGAGCTTGAAGGTCTGGGCAGCGGTGTTGCGGTCCAGGGTGTTCTGGAACTGAGCGATGGAAGGAGGAACCTTGAGACGGAGGTTCAGGACCTTCTTCTGGCGCTGCAGACGGACATACTCGGGCCACTTGACGAAGCGGGACAAGTTGCGCTTGGGCTGGATGTCCTGGCCAATACCGAAGTTGCGGGGGCGCTTCTCGATGAGAGGGTTCTGAGGTTTTCGTTAGCATCACCTTGCTAGTGTTTTCACGGGGGTATCTTCTTTTCTAGACATACCTTGGGGCCCTTCTTGCCAGAACCAGCCTTGCCCTGAGGGTAAGGGAGGGGAGCAGTCTTCTTTCCGGACTTGGGAGGCTATCATTGAGAAAAGAAGATCAGCAAATCGTGTCCACCACATGTGCTGCATCTTCATTGAACTCTAGGGAGACTGTTGAAGGAAATTATCGAGTGTTTCCACATCAAAAATCTTCTCCAACAGCCTCCAGCCAAAATCATCACTGACACTCGCCTTCCGCCGAAGCAAAGAAGTTGAGCGACCAATGGAAAAAAAAAAAATTCAAAACAAAATTTGCTTCGAGAACATTGTACGAAAATGAAGTAGGCGATAATTTCACGTCCTTACGCCATTGTCGCAAAGAGGTTGTCGAAGGCTCTTCGTCTCTTTCTGTATTTCAAGAAAGAGCTGTTGAAACAAATGGATGTCATGTGCTTACCATTGTTGTCGACTTGGATCCGCGGCGGTGCTGGTTGACGGGATTGACGGAGTGGAAGAAGAAAGAAGTAAAATTGAATTCGTTTTCTCGCCGAAGAAGTTCGTGCGGCTCGGATAATCTCCCGGCGCCGGTCCTGGACTAGGCGGTGGCCTTACACGTGACCTAGGGCTAGCCTCAAGGGTTTCTTCTGTCGCGTGCCCTACCCATCTAGCTCTGGACCAGCGCCAAGAATCCCTCGACGGGAAATCTAAACCGCTTATGGAAGTATTGCACCTGGCTAAATCAGTATGAATGCGGGGTCGCACCGATCAGGACATTCAAGGCCGGGGCGTCTTCCCGCTTGAGCACTATCAGATATCAACACGAGCACCGTTCGATATAGGTTATTTCCTATTTGTTTCTATGTCATGATACTGTCTCTTGCACAAAATGTCCTCGATTCAGAGTGTAAATGGGGCTCTGCAAAAGACTTTGAACGATCTTTCACCATCTTCCATTATTGATGAAGTACGACTGTCCTTTCTTTATTACTCGTCAGCAGGAGTTGAGTGTTTGTAGGGTTACGTGACGATTTCCCACGCCTTTTTTGCTAAGGGTACATACAACGAATTCATCCAATTCAAACCACCTATCTTCGAGTCTGAACAGCCTGGACTTTCTCACCAACTGCCAATCATACCCTCAACACCCGGTACATCGGGGAACGTCTCCTTCACCCGTACGATCGTTGCTGGCGGCCCAAATCCCTCTTGTTTCGAGCCCAACGCTAGATCCCCCCGCAATCAACATCAACAGAGGCAGAAGAAAAGATCGATTGATGATAATATAGTGTAACACTAACTAGCTCTTCATTAATTCATAATTAGTTAAATACCAGTTAGAAACCCTCTGCCTGTGCCTCTCGAATCCTCATTCTTCGCTCTATAAGCTCTAACTCCACTCTCTCATTTTCAAGTTGCTTTGCCCGTACCTCTTCTTCTAGATTTTGAACATCTGCCCGCAGTTTTCGAAGCTCAAGCTGTTGACGCTCTTTCTCAACCGATAAACTATTAGTTGAGGCAACTTGGTGAAGACTTCGGGTAGATCGGGATGACCTAGGTACTTAGTAACTGATTAAGAACTGGTTATGGCTTATTGACTTACTCATTATCCCCACGCTGTAAAGAATGCTGAGATACTGATCTTGAAGTCTGGTGCTCTGATTGGTCTGCTGAAAGTAATCTCTGGCGCTTGCAACTTCCTGAGTAAATAAAGAATTAATGGGTAAGTACTAAACAGGTAGTTAATAAGTACTTACTCTCCCGTTCCTGGGATCGGAGATAATTCACTTCCATATTTGCTGTCTGGGATAAGTGACAGACATTAAACCGAACAAAGATTTGATATTGTAGAATATCAGCCTTGTCAAGCTTAGCAGAGCTAGAAGATATTAGCAGATATTACTTAGGAACTGGCTATTAAGTACTTTCTAACTGCTTCAACCAGAGTTAAATACTTTCCTGAAGCATATGATTTCTGGTGAGACTGCTCAACTGCATTTGTATGATTACGAAGTTGATCAAAATAAACAGGCTGAATTCTGGAGCAGGCCTTATTAAGGCCTGCTTTGATGACTGCAGCCTTCTTTTGAATAGCCCAATTTTGGACTGGAGGGGGCTCATGTTCTATAAAGTAGTTAGTAACTGGTTGGCAGCTGGTTAGAAAGTAGTTATACTTATAAGCAGTTCTATCAGCGTATCATACTGCTCTTCTGATTCGCAGGTTAATAACTCCATCATTCGACTCCACAAACCTGACCCCTGTTGCCGTGTTCCAATAGCCTTTAGAATATTCCGTTGAAAATGAACCCGGCAGAATACGATAATATGCTGCAGCTGCCATATACTATCATTATGTTCTGGGTCAATCTCCGCAAGGTACTGGCCAAGGCCTTAAGCAGTTAGTAACTGCCTAACAAGTACTTAGGAATTACTTACCACTATACTGCTTTGTATCCATGTCAACAATAATCCCGTATATCCCAGAATTATGAAGGTGGTCAAAACAAACAGGCCTACCAGATACTCTTTCAAGAAGAGCAAAGGCGCGTTTAAACAATAAATAGTAGCCCTCAGTACTATCCATATTTGTAAAAACACGTAATAATGTGATGACTATATAAGCAGTTAGTAGCCACTTAGTAACTAGCTAGAAAGCACTTACTTTTAGCCTGTTCAGGAAGAAATGTAGCAAATAAAACCTCATTCATTTCCTTTGCCCGGATACGCTTGTAAGACATATCAACCTTAAAAGACTGTAACTGAGATAAGAGCTGAATCTGACTCTTATATCCGCAAAAAACCATGCTACTTTGAGCATCATGATAGTATTCTTGGATATATTCCTAGGTAGTTGGTAAGTACTTAAAGGCCAGTTAGGAAATAGTTAATAACTACTTACCTTAAAGATACCTTCTGTAGTCTGGAGGAAGATTAATCCATCAATCTCCTGACCATTAGGATAGGAAAGCAGACGTTGCTTCTGGATAATCGCAGCAATACGATCCTTATTACAGAAACTTGTGTGAATTTCTGCTAAGGTAGAGGCATTATATTGCTGGCAGAATGTCTCAAGCTGGGGACTTCGAAGGAATTGAGCTTTAAAGTAATTAGTAACCAGTTAAGAAGTAGCAGCTAAGCACTTATCAAGCACTTACCTGTTGTCATAGTAGGATCACGGATTTGAAGAATCAGATCCTTCACTCCTTGGAGGATCCGCTCTGGTGCCTTTGTTGGTGGTGGAGGCGGATGTTTATGAACCCCATGAGATACAAAAAGAAAATAAGGGCATTGCACAATATTTACAGGGACTAAGGCATTGAAAATAGCATCACATTTGTAATGTATTAAACGACCAGGCCCCTGGGGATGATCTCGGTCTTTAATCAGTTAGTAAGTAGTTCTGTGGTTGGTACTGAGTACTCACTACAGAATTTTCTGCGGGATACTAAAGGTTCAAAAGCTCCGCATTCTTCAGCTGCTGGCATGAGGTTCTTGTTAAAGAGGTCCTCTAAGAACTGTAGATCCAAGACTGCATGACCTTGAATACCCATACGATGATGCTTGCTGAGTGGTCCAGTTGTATCATTTACACACCCAATATAAGGAGTAAATGTTCCATTAACATTCTGAATAACCAGTTAGAAACTGTTTATCTGCCAGTTATAAATCGCTTAATAGTTTCTAAACATACCATGTGTGTATGTCGCTTGAAGACTGGCTTGCAATGAGGAAGCTGGTCTATACAAGCATGTCCCCGCTTGAACAATGATAATTTCGACCGGTAGTAGCTATAAGTAATTAGCAATCGCTTGAGAAACACCTAGTAAGTGTTTACATACCTATATGCATTCCGCTTGCCTATATCTCCCTCAAGTAGTTGAATACTACTTTGATATTTTTGAATATCTAGCCAAACACTCTCATTAACACTTGTATGATGGTAGGCTTTTAACCGCTCAGCTAGAAATTCACAGCAATGAACTCCAGAACATTTCCAGGTCCATTTTCGAACTTGACAGTTTAGAAATGGACAGTAAACTGGTCGTTTCTGGCCGTAATGTTGGAATTTGGAGTATTGGATCTAAGTAGTTAGCAACCAGTCCCTAAGCAGTTAGGAAGTACTTACATCATTTACTACCTGTTCTATCTCAGCCTGTGATCGACTCCCAGCTGATACAATATATGTATATCCATGTAGATCACTTGTAGGATACTCAGGTAAATCATTAATATACTCTAAATAAAGAGTAGTAAGAGGTTTGCCTTTAGCCTGAGTAAGTGGAACAGGTATATGTTCCTCCTGGTATCCAACTGGTTAGTAAGTAGTTACTAATTGGTTAGGAATAACTTACAACTGGTTCTGTTTCATCCTGTTGACTTGAAGTTACAATTTCATCAAGATCAATAATATCCTGATTATTGAACTCCATTCCGAAAGTACCACCCCCAAGTAGTTATTAACCACTTAATAACTGTTTGTTGTTTAGGCGTACTTCGGATGTTTAGAGGAGGAAATCTTATTTCAGTAATTTTTCGGGAAGGTCAATTGAGTCAACCCTGCTTACTAAAGGTCTTGGTGATCACGTGTTTGGGGTGACTCTCATGTGAGCTTTGCGGGAAGCTCGGATGAGATGTGTACACAGTTAGTTAACGTATCCGGTAAGCGGGCGCCGCACGCAAGCGAGCGCCGCAGCTCCGTATCCCATACTAATTCACCTTTTTTTGAGCTCTAACATCCCAACTAAACTTGGCCTA